AACAAGGGACAATGATGACCGGAGTCATCATTATCGAAGCTTTTGCTTTGTGCCACAGTTGGTTGCCTTGTCCAGCTCGTAACACCAAACCTCCTCACCCTCATCGTCCAAGACTAGGGGCGGCCGGCTGTTGTTTGTCGCTTATCCGGGTAAAGGGTCATTACCAGTAGTTACGCTTTAGTACGTCGACATGGAATCGTGGGTATATAGCACCTGGTATATCGAGCTCGATTATGTACGGCAATATAACCTTTATAACGGTATATTTATAGTATATCTAGTCCAGCTTTTTATACGGTCTAGGGGACTTATAATGCCCTATATATAGCCAGACCTTGTCTCCTACTTCTAGTCTTTCTGTTGGCTGGCGCTTGGTATTGGCGGCTTCCTCGTAGCACTGCTGGGTTATAGCGAGTGTTGACTGGGCCATATCCATCACATCTTAAAGCCTCGTTATTAGCCTGCGTACTGCGTCCTCCCGAGGGCCCTCAGGGTGCGTCGGAGCCGCCTCTTTAACTATAATAAGTTCCGGATAATACCCATGCTCTAGAAAGAAGCTACTCATTCTAATAGCGCTATTATCGCGGCTACAAAGCGCTAATTAAGCGGATGTAAGGTTTAGTACCCAGTCCTTTTATAAATAAGTAACGTAGTTACATAGATAGGCCTAGATCTCTTAGTTCATCCTCTATAGGCCTCCGTCGGTCTACGGGTAATAAATAGTATTTAGCCGCTACTCGATCCTTAATAACTTATAAAAGTGCCGCTAGAAGCGGCTTATTTAATTACTCCCTCTATTGCTTATAATTAACGTAGGAATACCGTAGAAGCGGAAGTAATAATTAAGGAAATGTTTGGCGTAGGCCTCGGCCTCTATACTCTTTGTTACTTTAAAAATTTCGCCTTTATTTAATTAGTTAATAATTATCTATAAGAACCTCTCGTTCTTATTTATAAGGGGTAGGTCTATAATAGAATCTATAGTAAGGTTACTTTATAAGCGCTATAGTATTAGTAAGGGTTTTAAGAGGTTCTTTCGTTACTCTTTTTAAATATAACTAACTAACGTTAATACTAAAGTTTTTAGTTTTAAGCTTTAGTTTAATAAATATAGAGTAGATTATAGAGAATATAAGTATTTAAATACCTAATAGAGCCTAATAGTATATATTAGCTTATCTACTAGTTACTAATAAATTTTATTAGCTTAATATATATTACTAAATATTATAAATTTAGCTAGTTATTTTAACTCTTATTACTATTTTTTTATTATTCTCTATTATATACTGTACTATGTAACTTCTTAAGCACGTAACTCCTATGATACCTGTATTTATAAGTTATAAATATATCATTAAAATTGTGGAAAATCAATGAGTCTAAATATATTTATGAAACATTTGTAGCCCTTATATTCATTGAGATATTAATATTTATTTCTTATGTTATAGAGTACTAGTTTTAAGGTACTAATTAATTAGTTATAAGTTTTAGAACTTTAGTAAATATTCTAAGTATTAATGACGTTTATTATTAACTAGTTAATTCTTAAACAGGCTAGTAAGTTTAGCTAGTAAGTTATTTAAAGTTATTTATAAAGCTTAACCTAGACTATAATACTTAACAATTATTATTTAAAAAAATAAAAAAAGAGCTTTAATAAAAATGACTAACGTGGTTCATCAGTCAGCCGGCCGGACCAGTCAGCCGGACGTTTTTTCCCACGTCCACAACAACATCTAGTATTTCTCAACCACAACGCATTAAGTCAATTATTGGTTATCGCTATCAGAATCTCCTGATGATTCGACATCTTTGGAACAGGTTCGTGCATTATGCCCAGTCTTACCACACGCACCACAGCGTCTCCGAGTCGGCTGGGCTCTCTTTGATGGACCCCCCTCCTCATCCTCTCGAGGTGCTGGACGTTTACCTTTTTGTTTCTCTTCCAGCAAACCCTGAGATTCCTCTATACTAAGTGCCCCTCCAAGCTGCACACACGACCTTTTAGCCCTCCGACGCTTAGCAAGTGCTACATTCGCATCCTCAAGGGTACGAAGCCGATTAGTCAAAATAGTGATTGAGTGCGCCATTGCCTGCGCACCCTTTGACAATTGCTCAACTACAGCAATAATTGGTGTCGGTGAGCTTCCTTTATGAGCAGAGATCCGGCTTTTGATAAAGTTGGACTGCGAGACGGCTTGTTGTGGGTTAGAGGGCGTTTGCGACTGCCAAGGTGGTGGTGTTGAAGGGTTGGCCATAGGAGGTGTAGGCGTCCGTAAATGCACATCAAGCTTTTTGATGACATAGTCTGGGTCCCATGGTGAAATTCCAGCGCCTTGGAAAGCAGATCTGATGTTTTCCTCATTAAAAACCTTGTTGTGGGCCTGGTGGAAGGCAATAAAGAACTCAGACTTGGTAATGTGATTTATGGAGGCTCTGATAAATAGGTTGATTTCATCACCGTATGCGCGTTTCAAAGGCGAATAAAGCGCAATATCCAATGGCTGTAATAGATGCGACGAATGTGCAGGCATACTGACCGTTACAATATTGTTCTGCTTGCAGTAATCGTCGAATTCGGCCGATAAATGGCTTTTATGGCCGTCGATAATGAGCATCCGGTAGACGCCCTTAGTTCGGTTCTTAGTATGTTTGTCGAAGTGTTTAATCCAGTCAAGACCCGTCTGATTATCCGTCCATCCATTAGCAGTGGGCTTGATGACCCAGTTGCCCGGAAAACCTGATTCCGTGGTCCAACTGGCAAGGTGATATGCGCCCTTGACGATCACGAACGGAGGGATGCACTACCCGCTCGAATTGATACATTCAATGACTGTAGCCCATTCACGGTTACCCGGCTGGACAGACTTTGCTTTGCCGCGTCGATCGGCGTGTGTTACCACTATTGACGCGGTGATCATGCCCATCATGAAGCCAGTCTCGTCGAAATTGTATAGGTCCTCCTCTTGGATTCCATACTTGGTCATCATGTTGCGTAACAACACAAACCACTTTGAAATAACCTCTGGGTCTTCTTGAAGAGCCCTTTGATAATCGTATAGACGATTAAACTTTGTTTTCAGAGCAGGCTGTGAGTCCATAAACCGCCTGGCCCATCGCTTGCCAACAGGCTCGGCATTACGCGCTCGCAGCAGGAGATTGGCCATATCTTCCACACCGCCAAGGCGCAAAGGAAATCCTCTGGAATCCTGTTCAATAACGTATTGGAGAAGTGTTTTCTCTTCGATCGGATCGAGTTTATGTCGTTGGGGTTGAGTTTGTTCGCGTCGCGGTCGGTTGTTCATTCTATCGGCTAAGGTGCTCTTCAGGATACCGTAGGTCTTTGCGGCACGCGAAATGCTCAAGTTACTACCTGCAGCGCGTATCGATCGGATCGCTTCAATCGCAAGAATGACTTTATCTTCTTGGGTATAGATTGGCATTATGGTTGTTGAGATTTTACGCGTCAAAGGTTTAAGTGGTTTGGACATAAGTGTGTTTAGAAAAAACGTCCGGCTGACTGGTCCGGCCGGCTGACTGATGAACCACGTTATTTATTAGCTATATTAAAGTATAAAAACTATTAATTCTAAGCCTATATTAACTATATAGCTTTAAAGAGAAAGAGAACTATCTAAATAAATCTCAATATTAAGTTCGTAAATATTAAGTATATAAAGAGAGCTTAGGAGGATACTAGCGACCGTCTTGTTGTTACGGCCAGCTAGTCGTAGGGGTAGTTTGCAGAAGTTGAGGCTGCGGAACTGGTAACAGTAATCGTAGTCGGGGATAGCTTCAGGGAAGCTATGTCTGTCAATCGTAAGGGTAGGTAAGGCTTCGGTGATCAATCGTAGTCTTGTCAAGGTAGTAGCTGAAAGCGGATGTTAATCCTGATACGAAGTTAATTGCTGAAGAGCTATGGAAGTCTGTCCTAGAGTCCAGCTCAAGTCCATCCTTATATACAAGTCCTGATCCTGAACATGTCCCTTGTCCCTTGGGTCGTCTTGGGTCATTCTGATCCAGAATGATCGTTTAGCCCCCAAGTCGTGTTGGATCATATTGATCCCAAATGATCCTTATCTTATCATCACGTGACTTGTACCATAGTTCTTCCGTTCCGTGAGAGGGTGCCTTGTGTCCCTTATCTCCTGCATATGTGGTGTATTATAACCGCCGCGAGCCTGCGGGGCAGGCCCTGTTCTTGGTCATGCATGTTGGGTCGTAACACTTGTTAGTCCTAGTCGACTTATAAGGATCGAATTACCTAGTCAGAGCAGTAACTATATTGTAGTGGCAGTGGAAAGTAGTTAATTAATTGACTGTAAGTTAGTGGTGATGTTTTAAGACCATATTGATTGGGGTGGCGAATAAGGGGGGATGGCGAAAAGTGGGTAGGCTGACTTACCTAATACATGACCGGAATCCCCTTTCCGGACTATTATGTTACCATCGAAATCATGGAAAGAGATCACGGTTCACCATACATGAGACATGGAAGAGAATTCAAACTCAGAGACACGAGACGAATCGCGATTAACGTATAATTGCACGGAGGTTGAAGTCTTTAAAGTTAAGCATCGTATCGGGATGTCACGTACGTGACAGGAATCCCCGCTGCCATCAATCTAATCACACTTACTAATGGTCAAATGGTGCTTACAAGTATTACCGTGAACTGACACCGCCGGAAACAGAATTCCTCATGCTTTGATTCGGAATTACGACCGGACCTCCTCAAGGACATCCTTACTACTACTTCTTCATCATGACGTTAGCGGCTTCGTGGCTGCGGGTAAGATTCGGCATTATCGTGCGCTTACGGCCGAGCACGCATGTGATATGTCCGCTTACGTCCGTCTTCAGATTTCAACTTCACCTCAGCGCCATGGCGGTTCATCTGGACCATCTACTGCTTCCTCTTTCGCTATCAACCTGCTTCATATCGCCGTAGGCCGGAGCCGTTTCACCCGTGACCCGTCATCACCCGTTTAGACATGGAGCGACAAACCCGTCGACGTCGGAGACCCGCTCTGTCATGTCTCGAATGCAGACGCCGAAAGATCAAGTGTGATCGCGATGAGCCTTGTGGGCATTGCACTGCATCGAAACTCCGATGCACCTACCGAGTATTCGGAAGTGAACTGACAGCTCGGCCGCCGGTGCAACAAGCTGATCAGGCAATGCAGTCGACTCACATGATATCGCCCCTGTCACAGGCTCCGACTATCTTTCCGGCACATGAGTCTACAAACGATGTCAATCCAATTTCTGAGCCTGTATCGATGCAATTCAGTCGTCGAGAGCAGAGTGTTGGCGATGAGGTTAGCGAGAATGTGGTCGTATCGGGAAACATGGCTCAAGCTCTAGTCGCCGAGCCCGCTCTTCGGGATCTCCTACACCGCATCCAGAGATTAGAGCAAGCATCTACCGGCACGGCACAACGAAGCGGATCTGAGATTCCCCAGAATATGATGGGGAAGGATACAGACTCACACGTGGTGTTGAAGAAGCCGAGAGTATGGCGATGGAGTGACTGGATGGGTGAAGCCTCCGAGGTATGTTCTTTAGCTGTGATGTTGGCTAGCATGGGGCCCAATGCTGACATCTATACAGTTTGACAGATTGCTGGACTGCTACAAAAATTATGTGAAGGCTGCTGCAAACGAGAGTCATGCTCCATTCCCAGATGCCGAGACTGAGGCCATGGCCATAGAGGCCGGGACTTTACTTCGGAACTGCAAAGACCTGGCGAGGAGTATTAAAAGTTGGCAGCCCAGCAGAAGTTTTGGCAACTCTGGAGTCAACCTTGCGGCCCCATCTCGCGGGGTGGCTGATGTAATGGTAGGCCATTACCTGGATTCATTCGAATCAACTTACCGCATATTACACAAGCCGACCTTCAGAGCGGAGTATCAGCGGTTTTGGGACGATCCAGCAAGTGTCAAAAACGATGCCCGCCTCAAAATACTCCTCGCCATTGCGATTGGATCAAGTCTACATGACCCTGAAGAAGTCGAACCAGGATTTAAACGCCTGGCTCATCAATGGATATACGCTGCTCAGGCCTGGCTTTCCGGCCCTCTGAAAAAGGATCGCTTGGGTATCAACGGCGTCCAGATTCACTGCTTGACTATCTTGGCACGGCATATCTTCTCGATTGGAGGCGATCTAGTGTGGATTTACACGGGAACGCTACTCCATACGGCCATGCAAATTGGCTTGCACCGTGATCCAATCAATTTATCGCCAATGTCGACATTGCAAGCAGAGATACGAAGGAGGCTCTGGTCGACCATCTTGGAGTTGGTTATCCAGTCATCCTTAGACGCAGCGATGCCTCCCAGGATCTCTTTCGATGAGTTTGATAGTCGACCGCCTGCAAATGTCAACGACGACGAACTAGAAGAGTCACAGACGGAGCTACAATCACACCTCAGGAGCACTTACACGGATATGTCACTACATCTACAGCTTAGGGACTCTCTCATGAGCCGACTTCGAGTTGCTCAGCTGCTCAACGGAATTCACCATGAGCTATCTTACCACGTCGCACTAGAGTTGAGCGCAGAGATTACCCATGCCTGCAGAACCAACATCCACTTTGTAAGGCAGCACGAGCGATCCGGAGTCTCGGTGTTCCACCGAAACCTGCTCGATTTCCTTGTGCGTCGCTTCCTGATTCCCTTGCACTGCCCGTTCGCGAGCCAAGCGCAGACGAATCCCCTGTTCCAATACTCGACGAAAGTTACCCTAGATGCAACAATTACGATTCTTTCACCTGAGCCGGACGATAAGTTTTCTCGTCTGTTCAGAATCGCGGGGGGAATGTTCCGCGAAGGCTACAGGTACGCCCTTGCTACCGTCAGCCACGAGTTCATCGCTCAAGCAGAAGCCCAGCATCGCGATGGAACGCTTCAACGCAACGTCCAACAAAGACAGTTTCTGAAGAAAACAATGATGGAGTTGATAGAGATAGCGGCAGAGAGAGTAAGGTTCGGGGGCGAGACAAACATCAAGGGTCACATGTTTCTTAAAATGATTGTGGCGCAAATCGAAGCCATGGAAATGGGCATTCCGGGAGATTTGGAAATTGCAAAGAGCGCCAAAGAAAGTCTAGAATACTGCCACACCTTGCTTGAGGAGCAAGCAAGCACTGTGACGCCATGCTCGACGGCCGAGGCAGGCTTTGGATCTTCTGGACTTGAACACGAACAGGGAGGCTTTGGTTTTGATTGGGATTTGGACTTTTTTCTTCCCGAAGGAGATTTTTAGAGTTATAATTTAAAATTTTAATTAACCATCACTTTAAAGGCCCAATATGTGCGATGTCTCCATATCATTTTGATTTTTAACTTTTGAACTTGCTGCTAAAAGTTGACTGATTTTTGGACACTCCTCCCACTTGTCATGATCGTCTGATTGTCTTCATGTCGGGTCTTCGAATTCAACTGACAGAGCCTATGGTTAGACCCATCGGTACTAGTTGACAGGTTGTCAAAGGCAGGGCGTTCGCAGTAGTTCGGCCGAGGCGGACAAGACACGGACATAACTTTTCACCACATTGATAGATTGAAATACTTAAGTGTGATGAAGGGATCAATTAACAGCGCTTCTCATATCGAACAAACAACATACAATATCGCACATTTGAATTAAGGCTCAACTCTACTCCTCACTTTCTCGGCAATCACAACATTCAGCCCAAGATGTCTTCCCCTTTGAAGATTCTTATCAGCGGTGGTGGAATCGCTGGAGGGTCCCTCGCCTTCTGGCTGGTCAAACTCGGCCATGAAGTCACCGTGGTCGAATGGTTCCCTACTCTCCGCGCTACAGGACTTCAAATTGACCTCCGGGGCCACGGCATTGAAGTCTTGAAGCGAATGGGTCTCGAAGAGGCATTCCGCGCCAAATCGGTCCCCGAGCAAGGTCTCCAGTTCGTCGACAGTTCCGGCAGGAGGCGAGGCCACTTTCCGATGAACTATTCGGGAAACGGAGTGCAAGACTTTACCTCCGAGTATGAGATTATGAGAGGAGATTTGTGTCGCCTCTTCTACGATGCCACCAAGGGCCGCGCCAAGTACATATTTGGTACTTCCGTGGAAAGCTTCGACCAGAGTAACGGTGGCGTAAATGTACGCTTCAAGGACGGCAAGACGGATCATTACGACCTGCTGGTCGGTGCTGATGGACAAGGATCACGTACGCGCAAGATGATGCTGAAGTCCGAAGCCTCTGACGGGTTTTACCCGCTCAGGGGTATTCATGCCTCTTACTTCACGATCCCGCGACTGATCGAGAAGGGCGAAGAGTACTACTCTACGGCTTATTTTGCGACCAATAGCCGGATATTAATGACTCGAAGACACAGCCCGGAAGCGATTCAGGCGTACGCTTTCTTCACATCTCACGATGAGGAGTTTCAAACCGCTCGGCGAACTCACGGGAAGGAGGTGAAGGACGTTGTTGCGAAGGCGTTTAAGGGCGCAGGATGGCAAGTGGACCATTTCCTGGATGCGATGATGGATTCCAAAGACTTTTACTGCGAGCAAATCGGCTTGGTCAAGATTGACCACTGGTCCGAGGGCCATGTCGCCCTTCTCGGAGACGCGGCGTATGGCCCATCATCCATGACGGGTATGGGCACAACGTCGGCGATTGTCGGCGCCTACGTCTTGGCTGGAGAGATCGGGAAATGCTGCGGATCTTCACGGGGCCAGGACGGCATTGAAACGGCTTTAGACGAATACGAAAGAAAGATGCGACCTTTCATGGATCAAGTGCAGGAAGGTATCACCGATGACGCTCTCGTCTATAAGCTTTGGCCGACTGGACCGATAGGGATGGCTATCTTGTACTGGATTATTGGAATTGTCTCTTTCTTCCACATGAACCTTGGCAAGTGGGTTCTGAAGGAGAGTGCGGTGAAGTGGAATTTGCCAAACTACGAGGAATTGAGGCTTGATGAGGCTCATTAGAGTAGCCTGAAAATTTGAGTAGGCAGACACGGCACGGTAGGGTAGGATTCTGTTCGATTGTTCGATTTGTACATTATCAGACGAGACGCAGCTCAGCCTGAATAGATATTGTTGGTTCACGGGGTCGTATACGACAAATAGTGGTGGCAATTATCACTCGTCTGTTGGTGATCCTATTGCTTGTTCTTCTTGTTGTTCTATCTTACATTGTAGGCAGGAGTCGGTCGAAGTAGGTAGTGACGGCCTGGGTGGTTGCCCCACCCTTATCCGGCCGTGATGACTAAGCCAGTTGTCCCACTTCGCCCAGGGCAGGTGCCAGCCAGCCCATGGTACCTGCCTATTACTCCTTATCAGCCTTTGCTGTTCCAACACTTATCTAGTTATACTTACTACTAAAGTAGATTACCTCGCACTTAGCTAGGTCAAAGGCAACCTTATTATCAGTGCCCCAGTTGAGGATATAAGTAATATCCTGGCCTAATGTCACGGTAGCAGGCAGGTTGTTTGGCAGGTGGATGCTGGGCAGGCGGATCAGACAATCTATTGCTACGGGCAGGCTCTATCCTAAGCAGGTACAGGCTCTGTTGACAAGACGTAGCTCAAGGAGCTACGTTTCAAGGAGCTACGTCTCTGGACATGCGCGACAGAATACAGGATGCAGAGTTTTATCCAGCCTCAGGCTTACGTAACCCGGCCACCGGATTACTCAACACCAACCTCAAGGTTGGGGTCTAGGACAGCGGGTCTGTGACACCTAAGGCTATAGCATTATCTTTTAGTATCGGGCTAATAGCTAATAGACCTATATTATCTACATAGCCAAACCAAAGCTTTTAATTATCAGCTAGGATAACTATCGGCTATATATAATAAAAAAAGTATCGGGGATAGTAGGGAGCCTTGCGGCAGCCCACAGGATAGGGGGAAGTCCTCTATAATAATATCCTCTAGCCTAACCCGAGCAGTTCGGCTAGAGGTAAAGATAAAGATCAGCCTAATCAGGCTACCAGGCCAGCCCTACTACCGTAGCCTAATAATAAATCGATTTTGTAGAACAGAATCAAACGCCCCCTTAACGTCCATTATTACTAAAGTTATAGTAAGCCCTAAATCTAGAGCGCTTTTTATCTTATAGGTTAGACAGGTTATTAGGTCGACTATAGCCCTTTCTAGCAATGCCCTAATCTACTATAGGCTAGCAACTCCTTCTAAGATAGTGAGGTTGTTACGCCCGCCGCAACTTGTCACTGTGGGCGCGTAGCTATATAATGCAGAACAAGGGAAAATGATGCGGAGTCATCATTATCGAAGCTTTTGCTTTGTGCCACAGTTGGTTGCCTTGTCCAGCTCGTAACAGAGGTATACCATCCTCTTTACTATTAGCCGCTCTAAGCCTTTACCTAAGCAGGATAAAAGGGAGATCAGACACCAGGATCCAGTCTTTAAGAAATCTATTTTCCCCGGCTTCTAGATCATAATAACCTCTACTTTGCGGAAGGTCCTAGGGAAGTAGCCCGTTTAAACGCAGGCCTAAAAGAGCTGCTATATAGGTACAGCTATCAAGCCCTAAGTACATTATAGTAACTTTATAATAATCCTATCAATCTCAGGGGTTATGGCCTTTATAAGAGTCGCCTGGCGCACTTCTTCTATACTAACTACCTACTACCAGGGTATTAGACGCCTTGCCACTACAGGAACAGTGAAAGGGTTCCCAGGTAGGTCGTCTGCAGCGTCAAATCTCTCTAGTAAGGCCTTCCGTAGGGCCTGTGCTTTATCATAGCTGTTATCAACTGCCTATCCGTCTACTACTAGCGGTAGGGCTTTAATAGCTAAGCTGGACTTACGCCAGCTTAGTACTTAATAAAGGCCCTGGTTAGACCCAGCCTCCTCAATCCTAGCAGCCCAGTAGGCACGTTTTGCCTTCTCAACTATAATCAGAAAGGCCTTCTACTCCTCAAGGATAGGCAGCGGTATAACCAGCCCAGGCTCTTAGGCTTATTAGCGCCTAGCTTCAATAATCGCTTAGTGGGCTTCTAAGCACTCCTCTGTCCACCAGGGGGCTCCCCTACCCTGGTTAATTCGTCTCTTCCCTACCGCCTAGATAGCTATAGAAAGGAGGCTAACTAGTTAGGTAGCTAGGGAGTCTATTTCTACTAGAATAGGTTTCTCCCTTAAGGTAGGTAGGGCTAAGACTCCTACCTTTACTAAATCGGCAAGTCGAGGTAGGGCCGTGTCTAGGACTAAGAGATGGCTAATCTAGTGTTACGCCCGCCGCAACTTATCACTGTGGGCGCGTAGCTATATAATGCAGAACAAGGGACAATGATGCCGGAGTCATCATTATCGAAGCTTTTGCTTTGTGCCACAGTTGGTTGCCTTGTCCTGCTCGTAACATCTAGCGTCTCTATGCCTAGACTTTGCCTAGAGGAATAATTATTATAATGGCCTGGTAGTCTGCCCCTAGGTATAGGTATGGGCTAATATAGGCCTCTATAAAGGGGATATTTGAAAAGGTTAGATCGAGGGTATACCCATAAGTATAGGTTAGAGCCCCAGCTTCCCCAATAAATTCCAGATTATTGCCTTCGGCCCATTCTACAATATCATCTCCCCGGTTCCGGCTACGGGCGCCGGGTTCCCAGTAAGGACAATAAGCATTAAAATCCATAACTATAAGGGCTCCTACTAGCGGTTAATAGCCCAAGAGGGCACTTATTATATGGTTTTTAAGCTCGCCCGGCGGCCTATAGATATTTATAATAATAAAGTTACTAACCTTTACCCATAGGATATCTCTTAATTAGGTAGGTCTTTATTGCTATATTTACAGCCTTAGACCCTTATATATATAGGTCATAACCCTAGGCCTTATGTCTCTATTATTCCAGAAATCAACTAGTACATAAGAGTTATAGCCTGGGTATATGTTAATTTACATCTTATCTCTATAGCCTATCCAGGGCTCCTAGATCAGTACTATATCGATCTGATCCGCCCAGTAGAGCTCTAGGAGAGCTATATGAGCTGGGCTTCTTTTCCCTACGTTATACTAGGCGACTCGTAGTACCCGTGGGGAGGCTGGCCTGAGCCTACTGCTCTGAGTCGAGGTCGAGGTGGGTATAGGCATTAATAACGTTGTAATCAGGCTTCTGCGCCACCCGCTGAGCCCTGCTGCTTGAGGTAGCTAGGGTAGGTTGGCTGGGTAGGGGGGGTAGGACTGGGTCGTCAGGGGCTTGCAGCCCTTCTACTTCAGCTCCATTCTCATCTTCATCCATGCTACTACAGCTAGTCACATCACTAACGTCCGCTATAACAATTAAGTCCTAGGTAGGGGTAGGGGCGCGTAGGCGCTTTGAGCCGGGCTGATGGCTCGTTAGGCTATTACTAGGTTGCTAGGTGTTGCTAGCTTAGGTGCCAGCCTGGCTGCTCTGATATAGGGCCTCATAGGCCTTCTGACCAGCCTTACGGATCCGGGAGAGTTTCTTCCGGTCTAGGAGGGTAAGGGAGCTATTAACCACTAGGGGCCTTGCTAGACAGTCCTTATGGTTAGCTTGGAAGGGGCCGGAGCAGTTGGCGCACTTCGGTCTAGCTATACAGGGCCCAGTCTCGTGGGATCCCGAGGGCCTACTACAGTTGCTACAGAGTAGCTATCGGTGACATTATCGGTTCGAATAATATCCCTGGCATCCAGGATCATGTCTGATTAGGGTCTTCTTCTTTTGGATAAGCTGAGACCTGCTGCTTTGGTTAAACAGTCTAAAGGGTGGTACTTCCACAGAGAAGGAGATGACCCAGGAGACTTCGTTTATAATAGGGTTTACACCTAGCCGGGACTGCTGGTCCCGGGTAGGCTTACGTCCTATTTAGGCAAGGACCTCATCTTCTACCAGAGTAGCTAGGTCAAGGGCGTCGCCATCAAGAGTCCACATCTTAGCAAGGCAACGTAGGACGACGTAAGTAAACCACTTAGTAAGGGTCTCAACCTTATAAGCTCCAAGACACTCTACTAGTTTCTGTTTATTTACAAGGAGGGCTTACTAGACCTGCTTATTCAGGGGTCTCAGTAAGTAGCCAGTTACAATATGGTAGATATATGGGATATCTACCAGCTGGAGCCTAAGGGCCTAGCAGACTGTCCGGCGTAGGGGAAAGGGGGCGTGCTTCCTAGCAGCCGCTAGGCCCTCTTCTAGGATACGGGTAAAGACCCGGAGGTCCTCCTTCGGTTAGGATAGAGCCTAGGCCCGGGTCTCCGTCAGACTCTATATCTAGACTTCGGGCCGGGTAGGGATTCGGGTACGGGTCGGGGCTACGGCCACGGCTATAGTTGAAGCCGAGGCTACTACGTCAGTCCATTTCCGGCTCGGAGCCGGAGCCGTAGTCTCGTTACCCATAATCCTCTTCAAGGCTTAGATTACATAGGTTATAACTTCTTTTACAATCTACTTCCTAGGCCCCTCAAAGCAAGAGATCACGTTATCCACAGACTAAACAATAGCCATAAAAACGTCCTTTCGGGCTTCATAGTACTTAGCCTCTTCATTAAGAGCTATAAGGACAGCTCCAGTAGCTGTCCAAGTCATAATCAAGGGCCCCTTAGCCGTTAAGGGGGTTGTTATTAGGGCGTCGGGCTGGCTTCCCACGAGGCTAGGCCGGAGTGGCTAGGCCTCGGTTTCGCGGCGGCGTTTAGCCCTTGAGGATAGGGGCGGCTCTAAAGAGGGTCCAGAGCCTCGATCAGGGCCAGCCGAGGAGGCCGGCAACGGTCCAGAGCCCGCCGGAGGCTACGAGGCCATCGTGGGAGAGCACCGGAGGAGAGGTAAAGGGTTTTCAGCTATTAAGGATTTTAGTAGTAGCCCACTTATTACACTAACAGTAGATGCCAATAAAAATTAGGCGAGAGGGAAGTTGCCCTATTCGCCGAGGGGGCTAGCAGTCAATTGCCTGGAATCTCCTGCTAGAAGTGGTAGTTGTGAATAGCTTCCTACTACAGCTCTGGGGCAGCCCGAGTTGGAAGAAGGTAAAAACTCATCACCAATGGCGGAAGATGCTTGCAGCTCAGCTTATTCAACGGTTTGGACCATTGGCAGGCGGACGACGACTTTCACGACCTAGACGGGCTACAGACAAGAGGAATACCTCTATTCCATGGGAGCAGCATCGTAGGGGGTCAAGGGGGGTATGCTCGCCTTGCTCTTATTGTAGTAATAGGGGGTCATTAAGAGCCCGCCAGGCTCTAGGCGAGATATCTAGGAATAACCTCACGCAGCAAGTAAGAAAAACTCGGCAGGGCTGTTTAGACTGTAATGTACCTTTATGTATGAAGGGAGACTGCTGGTACCTCTGGCATACACAAAACATATAGAGAATAGAAGTACTGGAAATCCTGTTGAATCATTGGATAAGTCTAATAGGCTGGGAAGTTCCTATTGGCTCTACCCCGCCCTTGGCAAAAATGGCGTCAGTCAGCACTCGATGGGATAGGATGGACTCGAGCCGGGCTCTAGGACAAACTTCCTATCCCATCGGGTGCTAACTCACCTCATTTTGCCAAGAGGTGGGGTAGAGCCAATTAGGGGTTGGAAATCTATAGAGTTAACCAATAGGGTTACAGTACCTCTATTGCCTACATATTCTGCGTATGCCAGAGGTACCAACAATTCCCCTGGGTACATAAAGGTACGTTACAGTCTAAGCAGCCCTTCCTCGTATATTTACGCCGCATGAGGGTATTCCCAGATATCTCGCCTAGAGTCTGGCGGTTTCTTATTGCCCTCAGATTACTACAATAAGAGCAAGGCGAATTAACCTTCCGTGACCCTTTTGTATGCTGTTCCCATGGAATAGAGGTATTCCTCATGTCTGTACGTCTAGGTCGTGATAGTCTACGCCCGCCTGCTAATGGTCCAAACCGTTGAATAAGCTGGGCTGCTAGTAACTGCCGCCATTGATAGTTGGATTCCACCTTCTGCCACCTAGGGCTACCCCAGAGCTGTAATAAGAAGCTATTCACAACTACTACTTCCAGCAGGAAATTCCAGGCCAGGGACTGCCAGCCCCCTCGCCGAATAGGGTGACCGTATTGATAATAAGACCTCATCTGGTCACTCACATCAACCCCATTCATCTTGTGGTTGTATTCATCGATTGCCCTAGGGACTGGAAGGTCCTTGCGGACGTCTGGGCCAAAGACTTGCCGGGCAGCCTTTTTAGCAGCAGTATCCCCATCTGGGCGACGGCGGCTTCGAATAACCTGGCTGCTCTGGAAGACAGTTGACAGGAATAGTACGAGGGCATTATCCTTCCAGGTGAACTGGTTGACCTATTCACTAGTTAACTAGGCTGGGCTGGATATACTGGGCTAGGCTGGCTAGTAGCTTACCTCCCCATCTAACGTAGGGATACAGTGTATTTTGCCCCAGGGGATATCCCGTCCTTCAGTCTCTCTCTCATCAACTAGAATCTCATCTATCCCACTATCCTTCCGGCAGGTACCAGAAGCACCAACCTGTTGTTTCCGTAGGGTACTAAAGAGACGTACAGAGGAGAAGAGGTTGTCTAAAAAGACGTGGTAGGTTGCAGCTGGAAGTAGGGAAATAAGGGTAGTTACTACCTGCTGTGTTGGTGTCAACTGGGCCAGCTTTCCAGCAGCTGGCCCGGCTGGCCCGGCGGGCTGGCTGGGCTGGGCTGGCTGGGCTGGGCGGGCTGTGCCTGGGGAACCAATGCGTATGGGCCCTTTCCGTGTACGTGCCATAGCCACCGTATACAGTAGCCAGACTGGGCAAGGATCCAGATCTTATACCCAGTTGGGATGGGTTTCGTTTTAATCGTCGTTGTCTCAAGAGATCGACCCTCAAATCGGACCATAGCCTCGTCAACTGTAAGATCTGAACCAGTTGTATAAAAGGAATCCCCAGTCTTTTGGATATGGGCTGACCACTGGTTAACCTTTTGGTATACATCGGGCATTCGATCCCGGGCCTGGCCCCGTCCCCGTCCCCGTCCCCGGCCCCGGCCCCGGCCCCCGCGCTGGACGGGCTGGACGGGCTCGTCGGGCTGGCTGGGCTGGAATTCCGCAGTATTGAATATCCGCAGTCGCCGGAACAGTAGTTGGAAACGGTCCCGGGATATAAACCGCGTAAATAGGTGGATGGGATCCTCCCTCTGCTGTTGGGTTGACCAGTAGGTTGATAATCTAGATTCCCTATGGATCCCTATATGTAATAAGATCCCTAGGAAGAGGTAGATCTCTTCTATTGAGGTCTCCCACCACTTATACACTCTGGACGTTCTAAGCCAGGGGCCCTCTTTAGACGACGGCGGTGCTGTATTCGTCCACTGGGCCCACTGCTCCACGAGGTCTTGCGGAACGTATTGGAGGAATAGTTCCAGCGGGCTTGCCGGCAGCCCCCGGACCTCTTGGGCCCGGGCTGGTACTTCAAGGGCCGGAAGGAGCCCGGAGGGCCATGCTCGGTAGCCGGAGGTTCACAGGGCCGGACTGTGGCTTCGTCACAGCCGTCTGGCTTACAAGCTGTATTACAAGCAGCAGCTAGGTCTTCTGGGTAGACCTCAACTACTATAGTGCTGAGTACAGAAGTAATAGAAGTTTTAGAAGCAATAGAGGTATCAGAATCACTAGAAGACATTGCAGCATCAATTGAAATGATAGTAATAGTAGTGATAACAGGTAAAAGAGCATAGTGGTAAATGTTGTATCGTCAATGTACCCCTTTAAATGCGGGGTAATAAAGTGTAAATAGTGGGAATTTTGGGGCTTGGCAAAAATGGCGTCAGTCAGCACTCGATGGGATACAAGTCCTGATCCTAAATATATCTGTTGGTTTGCGTGTACCACAGGTTAGTCACACAGGTATTCCTGGTATCGCGATCGGTAGCAATATCGTTGGGTTAATCTGGTGTTCTTGTTGTTGTTATTGTTCTTAAGGAGAGTATCTAAACGCGAAGGCTCGTGATATGGAAGGAGGGAGCTGAGGTGTGTCACGTGCCGAAGGCACGTGACATAGCTCGGCTCCGTGTATACCTAGCGATTGCCGTTTGTTCCCACAATATCCTTTATCCGTATGTTTTCCCAGCGGGTTCCGTATCCTTGGCATACGGGTTTCTTTATCTTATCATCACGTGACTTGTTCCATAGTTCTTCCATTCCGTGGGGTGACACATGTGTTCCCGTGACTTGTGCATATATGGTGTGCCGTAGCCGCCGCAAGCCTGCGGGGCAGGTCCTGGTCTTGCTTATGCATGTTGGGTCGTAACACTGGGAGGCATTTTTGGGGTGGCGAAAAGGGGGGGATGGCGAAAAGTGGGTAGGTTGAGTTACATAGAAACTTCGACATCACATCATGATTGCCGGTGTGAAACGTCTTCCTGTTGTTTTCTCGGTTGAAGAAGGAGCATGAACTGCGAGCTGAGGTGGTTCAAGGTTTGTAATGGAACTTTCTGTTATCAGATGACATCATCTTGCGCGCGTTTGGCGCACTTCGCGGCTTCAAATCAGTTAATCACCGCTGTATAATCCCTGCGATCAACCAACAAAAGGTTCAAGCCTCAATCTGATGTTAGAAACCGCTGGATGTGCTATCCTTGAAGCGGCGAAGGCCACTGGCATTTGCATATGAGGTGTGATCATTTTGGTTCTCACAGTATGCACAACGTGACATAGCCCCTGGGCTCGGGTCGTGTCTTTGCAACTGCGGTGACCGTTTGGTTCGAAAGGTCTTCGTATGATGGCGAAAGACGAGGGACTAGATGCCTTTGCGCTTGCTACTTAGCTAATGCTGGGTCACATATTATCAGACAGTTTGAGCTCTTTAAGACCAGAGTCTGTACGACATCCCGTCCTGTGATCTGGTTGGCAAGCTCGCTCAGTCATACTTCACATCTGATTAGAGTTTCCAAGCGAAACAGTCCATTCGAGGTCCCGTCTATTTTAAGGTAAGCTCGGAGTACTAGTTGATATTTCGATTGCAATCAAGCATCCTGATTGCTCGATAATATTTAGGAGTTAAGCACATTAGAGATTATTTTCTGGACGGACTTCCGGAGTAACCGTGCAAATGTGACTGGACGCGGAAAAACTAGCAGTATCTTGCTTCGGCCCCAGGCTTGAAGGCGAAGGCGCGTGAAGGCTTATACTTTCCGTTCGGGGTAATACGGTCGCGTGAAATCTCCGTCGCCGGATCCTTTGGTTGTGTAATGGTTCATGAAGCTTGCCTAGGTATTTAGGTACTAGACAGTGTGTCGCAGTTTACCCTGTGTATATATATCCTTTTCATCAGAGGAAAACCCTGGAATTCATTACGCTTGACCTACACTCTTCAAAACGAATATTGCACTCTACTGTCGGGAAAATATTACTTACACTCACAAGAAATATCAAATCAAACATTATGGCTTCCGGAGCAGGTGGAGATATGAACGGCGAATCTAACCACGGTCAAGACTACCTGCGCGCGGTGAGGAGTATTACAGCATCTTCTTTTCCAACAGAGGAGGATCGAATGAATGCACTTCTAGCAACGTACGAGGTTATTGCTAGGCTGGAAACCCCGTGGGATACCTACGTCAGAATTCATATGAATCAGGTAAAGCCTACGCAACACGGATATCAGATTTCAAGCATCGTAATAGTATGCTAACTTAATCTTAGCCGGCTGTCACTGCGGGGGTCAAAGTCATCAAAGACTTGAATTTGATGATGAAGTGGAAAGAACAAGGGTTTGTCCCGATGACGAGTGACCAACTCGCAGGCCTTGTTGGGGACTGTGATCCTCAGCTCCTCCGTGAGTATCATCGGTGCCACGCATGTATACTGAGAGACATCTTCGAATGCAACTAACATATTGACTACAGACAGGTTTCTCCGTAGCCTGGCAGCAAACGGTCTGATGGAACAAGTCCCAGTAGAGAAGTTCAAGCCGAACCATTTCTGCATGGAACTAGCAAAGCCAGACTTTGACGGTCTCCTCAACTTCTAGTGAGTACTTGATTACCAAGTCGAAGTATTTCTTGTTCTAAGCCCCGCAGTTACGCGGTTGGCCGTCGCGCATTTGGTACCTTGCCCGATTATCTGGCAGAAACAGGTTACAAGGATCCCTCCGATGCCACGAACACAATCATCCGGAAATCCACTGGGCACAGCGGAGACATGTGGTCTTATCTGAGCGAGAATCCCAAAATAGGTGAGATGTTCAACATCGTACAGAAGGCATCTACGAACAAAGAGCAACCATGGACGGACATATACCCTCACCGCAACTTGGTCGACGGATCAGACCCGAGTCTCCCGCTTCTCGTGGATATTGGTGGCAGCATCGGTCATGATCTCTTACGCTTTTACAAAGCCTATCCAAACGAAGGTTCAAGGTTATACCTCGAAGATCTTCAGTCAGTCATCAGTGACGCGAAGGAGAAAGCCCTCCTTCCCGATACGGTAAAAAAGTTGGAATACAGCTTCTTTGAGCCACAACCAGTGAAGCGTGAGTCCATCGATCTGTTATTTGAAACTCAGCGTTGATGTATGATACAGATGCTCGTGCATATTACATGCACCATATCATTCACGATTGGTCCGATCACCTCGCCCTCAAGATATTAGAGACGCAGAAAAGCGCCATGAAGCCTGGTTACAGCAGGTTGTTGATTCATGACCAAGTTCTGGACGATAATAAGAGCCAAGTGAATACCACAGCATTTGATATAGGCATGATGGTATACGTGTCCGGGAAAGAGCGCACTGAGAAGCAGTGGTTGGCTTTGCTTGACTCAGCCGGTCTCAGAGTCATCAAATTTTGGAAGAAGCCACCCGACTACTTCAGTGTTATCGAAGTCGAAGTGCCAGTTTCGTAGAGCCTGTTTGTATCTCTCTATCGAACCGTATAATCAGTTAACGGTACTTGTATTTGTATTTAGACCAATCTACAATCCTTGTTACAAGCTGCAATGTGATCAGTCCTTGTTGAAGATATTCATTTGGACTATTAATGCTTAAGCACCTCGATGGCAGGGATACTGTGATGACACTTCCCACGTGCACAACTGCAATCCTAATCTGATAAAGATGATGTGTTGTACAAGACAACTTCTGATCAATTACGACGCTTGATTATTCTACGATATGGTTTCACTGGATGCAAACTCTTGCATTGAGCTCAGCATAAGTTTAACAATTATTTCTGAGGGCATTTGAGTACCTATACAAGTTAAAGAACAAATGTGTTGAAAGATTAAGTACCTTATCAACAAAGTCGCTCAAGGCTCCGAGCCTCTTTAAACGAAAACAATCCTGAACTGTAGTCTCGACTTAGAGATTCTTCAGCTCTACAACCTCATCTCTGTGTACTCGTAGGCCATAAATACTCTCAGGTCCACCTATAAACTTGTCCCCAAATGCTTTAAATCCGTCATCCCGCCGGCAATATGTCTCGATGACTGTCTGAATAGGCTTGTACGGATAAGGTACCATGATGCCCTGCCCATGATCCTTTCCATCCAAGAACATCAACTCCAACTCCTCTGTTCCGCTCCACTCGTACTGCTTCCACGACTCTAAATCGTCCATCGTCCACTTCACGTCTCCGGAGTAGACATAGCTTGCTACTGCTCTTGGGTTAGTCACGCAGTCTTCTCCTCCCAAGACAACAGTGCTGCGCATTCCGGCTTGCACGCCGTTGCCGAATATCGCAATTTCTTCTGGAGAGCCAGATGCATAGTAGCCAGCCTCGACATTTCGCAGGCTTGGCGTGAGCATCTCACGCCACATTAGAGACTCCCTCCAGCAGAGCCTTCGAGCAAGTGTGTACGCCGTCCCGGCATCGGTTGCACTTGCCCACCATATCTCCCATTCGTTGCCGTGTCCTGTTCTTCCACGGATTGATGGTGTAGGCTCCCGGCGAGTGAAGTTGAAAGCAACATCAGGCAGATGAAGAAGCAAAGACACTGGGTCTATTAAGATGGATGCAGCAACCCGCGGAGCGAAATCTGCTCTTTGTAGTAGTTGGCCCATCAACAACGTCCCGTAGCTGTTCCCAATTAGAACAAAGTCATCCCATGCTCCACGTTCTCCGACCCCGGGCGCTGGCTGCGAAGCTCGCTGCTGTGCCACACACTTTGCTACCATCTCGCAGAGTTCGGGTGTCGATGGCAGTGGCCACGTGGTGACGCGGGAAGAGATTGGTAGCATCTCAACTGCGAGGATGCCGACGTCCTTAGGGATTGTGTGGAGCCAGAACATGTAAGGGATTAAGCCGACTCCTAGGCCATGGATAAAAACGACGGGACGTTGTGTTGCTGACTTGTGAGGTCGATACCAGTAAGACATTTTGCTCGCTGCAGATTGTTTGAAAGGGAAGAGGTTGATGAATCGGACCGGGAAAACCTTGAAGAAAGTTGAGAATGATTGTTTGTAGTATCGGTAGCCTTGGGTCAGAAGATACAAGGCCATCAGGTTATCGAAAAGTCCAATGACCTAAGGAGAGATCTAGTTAGTAAAGGTCCATTGATCGTTCAAAGGGCGGCAACAAACAAAGAATGTTGTTAAACGCCGCATGTGCCGGCATATATCGCGGAAAGTCTCCGAAGGAAACAGCGGTTGTCAGCAACTCACCATGTAGTAGAGCAAGCTTCGATGTTGGATCATTACAGGGTCGAAGGCGAGTTTCAGGGCTTCTGCATTTCCTCTTCCTGGGCGTAGTTTGATCCCAAACGTTTCTTCAGTATCGTCGATGTACCCCTCGAGTTCGGCCTCAACTTCCTTGGTAGGGCGGCCAGCTGTATTGTCCTGTTCAAACAAGGCCCAAAGTAACCAATCCTTTAGGCTTTCGCGGCGTATATCCTCCATGTGTGCGTTGAGCATCCACATGCGAACAAATTCCTCGCCATCCGGCACCAGACTCAAGGCCTTGGAGAATAGTCGAGCGCGCTGTGAACGACTCATTCGAGCCGGCGTGTACGGCTTGTAAGTCTGCAGGTATCGTTTGTACGGTAGGAAGAAGAGCAAGTAAAAGAGAATTTCAATGGCGGCAATGACCTCAATGAAGATGGAAACTGGATGAGCAACAGCCTTGACGCCGCCTAAAGCAAATACGACGTAAAAGTAGGTCAGGCCCAGGAGTCCCAAGTCCCTCATCATGATTATCAGCACGCGCACCGCAATGTATTGCGGCCATGTCTTTTGGACAATCATCGTCGAAGCTCAGAGGTTGGAAGGCTCTCTCGTTGAAATGCTTGTTGAAGTACCGTAGTTTTCGCTAGAATAATGCTGAGTACTTCCTCAGTCGGCCACTTCGAGTTCTTCGTTAGTTTCTGTAGCTGAAGACAACAAAGCGCTTGTAGTAATGCTCAAGAGCATCAGTCGAGAGTCAGATTTGCTGCAGATTCTGGATTCTCTGCATCACTTGTTTGTGTTGTGACGATGATGCGCCGCCGCTGGATGGATGCTGATAAAGTGCCTCATGCTAACGGGAACAGAAAGGAATGCATAAGTCTCCTCGGATAGACAGACGCTCTGGACCTGCCGAGCGGTTGTGACGTATAACGGGGACTTGAATCAGACGCGGCAGAGCCAACCGTGGATACTTGAAAAGAGAGCGGGCCCCCGTATCCGGGAAGAAGACAGCGGAGACAGTCCCCTTAACTTGACATTGGCGGGGTGGAGATGATGGAAGACGGTGATCTTGGACTGCACCGCATAAGAATGCCGGCTGCGGTAGTTTCAAGAGGGCTTGCCGCACTATGGACGACCTGTCAGCAAAATATGGTTATCTCTGACATGTGTTGCGCGTCCTGCAAGGCGTATCATCTCGGCCGTGGTAAATGGGCTGTGATTTCTATCTGGTTTTCGGCTCTCCAACCGAATTTAGACCAGTCGACCAAACGGGTAATCGAAGAGCTGCACCTTAGCGGCGATGAACTTCGGCCCAAAACCGACTGCGTCGGACCTTGCCGACTCGCCATCGTCTTCTGGGCCCTGTATGGCCAATTCTCGTGTTTCCTCGGTCGGCTCTTTGTTAGCGATTGGTCTGATGCGTCTGATGTGTAGTTGTGCCCGTGTCATCGTTCATGTACTCCGGCCAACTCTTTTGTGGGATACCCTTGTGCTGTCAATGTCAAAGCCAACAGAGGCCCGAGATCCGCATTGATGCTAGGATCTAAGGAGCAACTCCCCGTGTTCGTTCAGCGTGTTCGCTTCAAGGTGGTTGGTGAGTCTCACCATGAGAAAATTGACAAAATTGACAAAATCGACGAAAGAATGTTCCTTGCCGTTATCCAAAATCTCTAGCCGATCAAAGTATTGATCATAAATTGACCAGTAGCTGATGTCATTGCCCAGCTTGGAGCTGTATCTAGGTAATAACGTATGGGTGAGTGTATGCCAGTATTCTCTAAAATCTACAGCTATGGCGTCAAGTACGTGTAAAAACATTTTGGTGTCGAGTGCGATGCCTCTGAGTTATTTCCTGAAGTAGGTTAATAATTGATGGCATCAATGCAGAAGAAAATAAAATGATGTTGTCAAATAACCAAGTGCACTTATCTGCTTACGGGAACGCCACGTTCAGCTGCCACTCGCATAGGTCTAATCCGATTCTTCTTCAAGTTGATAGTCGGTATCGGGCCGCCAACTTAGTGCAATTACTACGTGAGTTGAGTGTTGGGCTTCTGAATTTGTCAGTGACCCTTCTATGTTATCTCATCCCCAAGTTATGTGCTATGAAAGGCACTCAATAAGTCGAATTATTGAAATACGCCATTGCAACGAACTACTATGGGAGTGAATCCGTAGCAGCACGCCGCCATGTTTTCTCGGAATATTGAATTAGTCTAGCAAACTTGCAGAATGTCGCTTTTGGAGACTTCATGGCAAGAGCCTAGAGCGTATGACACCGGAGCAAATAGTATGACTAGGTTGGTGACCCAGAAAGCTATGCTCAAACTCGTAAAGACCAAAGTAATTCAGATGATTGAGGAGCGAATTGAACGTGTGAGTAACTCTATCCGGTCCGTGAGACCAATTATTGATTAAAGTCTACTACTCTAACTATACTTGAAATAAGACATGTGAACATCTAGGAAATGGGGCAGTTGATCGCGCTATGAGGTGACTGGTTAGCCGCTTTCTCTAATTTTCGGGGTCTTTCCAATAACTTACTTCTTGTCGGACTTGTTGGCGGTGATGCCATCCGGCTGCTTGCCGTCCACAGTGCACTTGGCGAAAACGTTAGGGACGATTTGTCCCGAGGTGGTGCCGCAGTCAATGAGGTAGGTCTTGCCGCTGGTGCCGGTCACTTTGCTATCGTGGCCCACGCTGACGTACTGGTTGGCAACGCCATCTCCGGAGAAGTAGCTATTGCCAATTGTCAACCCGGTGTAAGAGTTGGAGGCTTTGCAATCCAAGCACTGGATTATGTGGCTTGAGGGAGACTGTTACTTACCATCCGTAGATGATCTGACGGCTCTCAAGAGCAGGGGCAGCCTGAGCTCCGGCAACCAGGAGAGCAGCAGCGACGGTGAAAGTACGCATTTTGATTGATTTTTGAAGTGAGGAAAGATTGATAGTGTGTAGATTACCGAAGGCAATGAGAAACGAGAGACAAGTAGTTGATGCAGAGAAGTCTGAAGCTGCGACATATGTGCATGTCCGGTAGGCTCTTATACCAAGAGTGCACTAAACCGAGACCGTCGATACGTCGTATTTGTCGATCATTCAGTCTTTGACTTTCACACATACGGGCCTCGAGTGGAGTCTATGCTCCTTGACTGCATATTGTTTTCATGCTATTGCCGACTGTTAGGCTTCCCGACAGCAAGAACCTAGGCCTAATATCCGGGGAATCCGACAACAAAAATAACTTGGCGCAGGTTCATCCAATTTTGAACCTTAAGTGGCTGGTTCTCACGGGAAGATTCTCACTGCCACAAGTAGTGGGGAATGAGCAGAGTATAATAAAATGCGCAATCTTAGTTTCAGAAGCTTATTCTTGCCGTGTCAGATCGTCGACCACTCGATGTAGCTCGGCGACCGGATTGCTCAACTGAACCGTGAACTGTCGATGATTGGTAATCGGCGAAACTAAAAAGGATTCAAGCTGCAGTCTTTGGTTTGAAGATTTAGAAATCCGTTGTATCATTTGGTTGAAATGCAGTCTTTTCGCAAGGAAAAATGAGCAGTTGGCAAGAGAATCATTGGTCGAGTTCAAGGGAAGAGCTGGTTGAAAGAGTACGAGTCAGGAGCAGGGCGGCGAAGGAGGCGTGATACATGCACTGTTTGGATTGGGAGATCCCTCGTAGGCTCTGACAGAATGGCTTGTAGTCTGATGCCTTGTGCAGAACCACAACTTTGGAGTCAGAGAAAAGAACGAGAGGATCACACAGTATTAATTACACGATATTCAGCCAGTCAAGAACCCTGAGCAACAGCCAGCTTGCAGGTTCACAGCCTTCGGTAGATGATGCACAACATCTTGCCTAATGAGGTATGTGACGTCCAACAATGTTGAGCAGAGACAACAACAGTCAATACTGTATTATTTGACGATACTTCCATCAGCTGCGGAGCTTCGATTATCAAAGTCTTTGCTACCTCTATAAATGTGACGCTGGTACACTTCCCCCACCTTCCGAGGCCAGGGCATTACTCGTATCGTAGAAGGAAATAGTAATCAGGGAAGCAAATGGAGATATCTCTGTAATAATCACTGTAGTCCGTCCGAAAACGTAGTTACAGATGATGCGTTGGCATGTAGACATGTAGATGGGGATGCGAGAGGCCCTTTGCTTTTGTCGCTTGCGTCTCAACTATAGATGGGATAAGTGCTCTGTAGCCTACCTAGGCCACCTTAGTTCACGATTTGCACTTTCTACACTGTACACGCAGTCTACGAAGTCTTACGAGAAATTTGACTGATAAAATTTGGCGAAGCTTCGAGAAAAGTTGCAATTGTAGAGTGAGTAGGAATATAAGTTCAATAGTCTCTGTTGGTATACACGTCAGCAGGGCAACCATACGGTTGGAACGAAGTGCCAATAATGGTCTATTATTGCTGCGTCTGGAGGTGGAAGGAGGAGATTGTGGGCAGAGCCCACGATCTCCCAGAAGTGGTATATAAGTGAAAGGGCCGTTTGTAAGTACCCATACCGCCTTCCAGATCCATCTTTTCTGCCGACTGCTCAGAGATCTAACAGTCTCAGTTAGAACGTTGAACAGGACAACTGTAAAGAATAGGTACCGCATGATTACAGATTACAGAATTAGGTCTCGAATACTGTAACGGCTTCCACTTAGAAAGTTGACGATTTCTTTGTGACTATTACAAGATAGGAGTCACATGGAGTGTTCTAAAAGCCGTTTTGACTTGTTCCTGTCCCACAATCACTAGCTCCCGCAATCAACATAAGTATGCATTAAGAGCAAGACACATCCCACTTCACACTAAGAACAAGAATCCTTCCCCTCCCTTCGATACACCCCTTCCGTTCTCGTCAGAAACAAGGTAAAATACTGACGAACATGGAGATCTAAATTTACCAAACTTCGACGTCTACTTTGAAGACAAATACATCTGCAGAAGACTGCAGACGAGCTGTGTCAACTGCCATGGTTTTGAGAGCTTTGGTCAGGAAGCAATTGTTAAACGGAAAATAGGTCAAGTTGTGAGGAAGCTAACGCCTATGGCCTCAGCCCTTCTTCTGATATGAGGTGCTTAAGAAGTAGCATTTGCCTAGTATCTAGGTAAATGGAGCTGCGTGGTATCTTGATGTCTTCGAAATGGCACCAAGAGCATCAGATGAAATAGGAAGAAGCTTTAGGAACCAAAGATGCCTGCTCTAGCACTGAAAGCCAATTGAGATGCCCGAGTTGCCCCAGACCTCGGCGAAGCTTCCCGGGGTATCTCATTGACCAGTGCTTGCGGTCCACCATGTGGTCCACTTTTTCGTCTCTCCAGGAAAAGAAACCGTGGGTTTCTTTCTTTTCTTTTGGACTTCCTGAGAAGGAAGGATCTGATGCTAGGACCATTGCCTGCCTGCTCCATCCATGCACGTCTGTCAGACTGTCAGATTGTCGATAACGGAGACCACACAAGACTTGATATGATTCAGGATGTATCCCTCCTGGTGATGTATCTGAAAATTTGGAAAAGATTGTGTTTGTCGTTATCATCTTGTCGCAAAAACGACGCCGTTTATTACGGGCAGCAATTAACGCCATATACCCTACGACACATCTAAACTGGCCAAGAAATTATCCAAAACACGTTTTGGGCTCTGCTCCGGGATGCCGTGGAGGATTGAGGCGCCACCGACGGTTTATTCTAGCAAATACATAAGCAGTGAGCGAATATGCAATCATGTTGGAGTGGGGATATGAAGGCGATCATCCCAAGACTGAGGGATCCCAAGGCTGAGGGACCAGTCAAAAATTGGGTTAAAATTTCGATGGTAAGGTAGCAAAAGGTGGGAGTGGCATTGAACTCATGTTTGCGGCACCGGCATATCGAGCCTGCCACGTTTTGGAGTGGCCATTCATTTCGCCAAGGTGGCGGGAAAGTGGGAATCGGGGCTCATTGGATGCATCCCCTGGTTCATGCATGAGGCACAGAAAGGTCTGACGACGATGGCCTCCTCGGACAAGTCTAGCCCGGGGCTCCGGCGCGCCAAAACTTTCTTATTCAGACGCGGCTCCTCGTATGTCTCATTGTCTACTGCAAAAGTGTTGCCAACTTGCCACTCTTAGCTTCACCAGCTCAATAACAGGCTGATAACCCCTCATCTTCGAATCTCTCGTCCGTCTGGCCATCAAGTGCGATTCGATGTCAGAAATTAACTTGAGCCCCAGCAAACCCGTGACGATATCATCTAGATCGGGAATCTGAGAGCAAGGAAAAGAGCAGCAATCATTGCCGATGTTTGCTTCCCAACCAACTGCCACCAGCGATCCAACGGTTTAGTAACCTAGTTCGGCATAATCCGTGTTCTGATGGCGACGTCCAACCAGAACACCTCATGCACCGGCACCAACACCAGCACTATTTCGGTTGTTTGCTAATGAGATGCATATTGCCCCTGTCGCACACGCAGCGGCAGGCACAATGTCCGATTACATCAACCTTCCGGCCGCAAGAGAATTCCCTTTATCTTCGCCTTATATCTGCAAAGCACATTCCCGGTGCCCGGACCAAGATGGTTGAAGCCCAGACGGCAAGCCGCATCACCTTTCTCACTCCGTGTGACCAGATGTTCCTGCATTCGATTTGTTAGGACTCCCAGTTTCACAATGGTTTCCATCACATACCACTCAGACCACGATATCTCCGGCATCCTAATCATCTCACACGCAGTCCTGAGTTTCCTGGCCACTGTTCTCTTCTTGCTTAGACTCTACGCCTCGTGGCGGACACCGCATGCAATATGGACCGCCGATGTTCACATTTCGCTGATAGCGTTGGTAAGTAGCTGCAGCCGACTTCATCCCTTGCAGGACATCCCGCAGAGTGAAACAGACTGACTCAGAGTCTAAAAGCTGTCAAATCACGCTTTACTTGCTATTGAACTTGCCGGTAAGTCTATCTCGACGATCTTTGAGACAGAAAAGCTAAAGCTCTCGTTCAGCCGTTCCGCTTGGTCTTGGGACCAACATCCAAGATGTGATGGATAATCAACCTAACGGCACTGCTCCTCTGTTCAAGGTAGGCAATTTTGCCATCCTCAATTATCTTGTCTCACTACTGACGCGAAAGATCCAGAGTATTCTGGCCATCGATATTATACATTGCGTAGCGTGCTCGGCCGCCAAGATAGCAGTCCTCGCCATGTACTACCGTCTTTTCTCAGCTTCAAAGGTTTTGCGGTGCTGGGTATGGGGAACAACGATTGCAATCTTGCTGTGGCTCATTGCTGTGATTTTGGTCAGCAGTAAGTGATTTTCTAACAGAAACTTCTCCGTGGTTCCCGACTCCATCGTTCAGCAACAACTGTCGAACGAGAGAGCATGCTAATGTTTTTGAACGACGCACAGCTTTCTCGTGTTTGCCCGTAGAGTATCACTGGGACAAGTCCCTTCCTGGTACCTGCATGGGAATCAGCAAAGTAGGGATTCTGTTCCCGAACATCATCTTCGACATCATAGCCATGGTCCTCCCCATCAACGAGATATGGAGGCTGCAGATGCCACGAACCAAGAAGGCGGCACTCACGGGCATCTTTCTAATCGGCGGCAGGTATGGGAATGCCTTCTTCAAACCACCTTTCTCTCCGAGGTATTGACTGACTTTCGCCAGCGTCATCTTCATCTCCATCTCCCGGCCGCTCCTCTTCTGGATCTTCCGCCCCGTGCCCGGCATAGCGCACAACGTCAGCCAGACCACCATCTTCCCCTACACGGCATCGGCCGCCGAAGTCTGCCTCGATATCATCGGCGCCTGCCTACCGCCCTGCGCTTCTCTCTTCAGGCGCTTCTTCGGCGGAGTCGTGAATGTTGTAAAGTCGGGACATAATTACTCCACCTCGAGGGGCAAACCCAGCAGCAAAGAATCCTCAACAAAGAGATCCAGCAAAGTACGCGCCCTTACCATCGGCAAGGCGTCTAACCGCAAGCGAACCGACGCCGACGACGCGATCGATCTTGAGGGATCATTTGAACGGCTCGGGGATGGGGTTAGCTGGCAAGGTTCGACGGATGGGTTGTATGGAATGGATGATCTCCAACGCAGCACAGGGAATGTAGACGATTGCAAAGGACGTGATGGGATATGCGTCAGGCACGATATCCAAGTTCATCACGGGGGTCCAGTCACGGCGGATGACATCGCAAAGTGGCACCGAGGAGACGTCTTTGACGGGAGATCTAGCAGACTTTCACGGGAAGCTTGACGTTCATTTGCCACCCTTGAACTTTCGATTTTACTTTGATGTAGAATATTGTACATTTTGACTATGAAGTACGTGCATTTTTCTTGCCATCTTTGTGCGAGTCGATACTAGCTACCAAGAGCTTGCTTCCCGTTTGATGTATATGCATGTCGTGACACTCAACCAGAGCCTAAGTCCGGAAAGGGCAATGCTTATTTATGCCCTCCGAATCACGACCTCTTCACACCTCAACCCAGTCCTCCCAGTCCAGAATAACAGACTCTTTATACTCCGCATCCATGAACTCCTTCACCCACTCTTCATCCTCAACAAAGTCCAAGTCTGCCTTCTTGAAATACACCAGAATAACAATGCATCCCTGATTCCCAAGAGAAATAGCCATGATCTCACCGGCGATTTCGTCCGCAAACTTGTCCTTTGGCGCGACAGTGACCTGGACATCCTCCCTTTTCCCTTTCATGGCGATGTCTTGACTTTCCAAATCGGTGGTAAATGCGTGTAGACGGACAGCATATCCGGTACCTTGGGTATTTTTTCCCGCGGCGACGAGTCTGAAGCAGTGGATGTCTTTATCGTTGATGCGGATGGAGAGGGCCTCTTCGAGGTTGTCGAATTGGTGTGTGGGGTCCTCGGGGGGAGGTGCGAGATGTCCGTATGGCTCCATGTAGCGAAATGGGGTCGGTTTGTTTCCGGTCGGGGGATTTGGGGTTGCTCGTTGAGACATTGTGTTTAGTCTTTATGGAGGAGTGGATGGTATCGCTTGTTGTGAGGATAATGTTTTTGTTGTGTAGAATGTCATTACAGGTGGACTCGCCAATGCAGACCGTGGCCTGGTCGATTTAGACGCGCTTAGTTCTATCTCCGAATGTTTCCCACCTCATTCAAAATCATTCAAAGTTTTCTTGAAGACTCAGGTTACCACAGCATGAGAGAAGTTCAGGAAAAACGCCCCGCTAATTACCGGAAAAGACTATGCCTGTCGTGGGACATCGTGGGCAACTTTTGACTTCTCCAGTCCCGCAGTATTAACCAAGAGAACCGGTCTCCACCACTGATCTGATTAATAGGGCCAGGGGCAGTGTGATGCGGTACAGACTTCTGTCATAAAAGCTTTTTCTCCTTATTCTCGTTTTATTCATCTTGGCTTTGGCGTTTTCCATGAGATCCTTTAGGCTACCTTTTGGGCCACCTTTCGGGCCAACTAAGACCAACAGGGTCAGTCAGAATGTGGTCCATCCTGACTGGTTCCTAGTCCCCGAAATCCAATCATACTTCCCCTTTTGTCGGCCATGAAGTCCTCTCTGTATTTAGACCTTGAAGCTTCTATAAAGCGCTCGCATCCCATTCCTCCCTTCTCTCTCGCCAGCCCCAAAAACTCCAGAGCGTATGAACTCAAGAGTGGCAAGTGCAAACACTACTGTTGGTATACACGTCAGCAGGGCAACCGTACGGTTGGAACGAAGTGTCAATAATGGTCTATTATTGCTGCGTCTGGAGGTGGAAGGAGGAGATTGTGGGCAGAGCCCACGATCTCCCAGAAGTGGTATGTAAGTGAAAGGGCCGTTTGTAAGTACCCATACCGCCTTCCAGATCCGTCTTTTCTGCCGACTGCTCAGAGATCCGACAACTACAAAAAAGTCAATAACCATCAAGAACACAGCACGCAAACTACCTAAGGTAAGGAATCATGAGGACTTACTTCTTGGAGCTGCAATATCCACCAGTTCCCTTCAACGCGAAGCACTATAACAAACTCGTCAGCAAATTTCATCAACGCTTCAAGTGGAGACGTTGGAACATTACCTTGACCTGACACGCCTTATCTCCGCCCAAGAACGAACACGTCCATCCCTGACGAGTCTCCAGGATCTCTGCGGCGCGCTTGATGACTTCGGTCTCTTCTGCAGAAAGGGGATTACGGTTCTTCAGTTTTTCTGCCGCCGCTGCCGGTTGGGCGATGGGGTTTGCGAGGACTGTCGCTGAAGAGAAGGCCAGGGCGGCGATGGAGAGGAGGGTCATTGAGAAGTGCATTTTTTTCGTGTTGTGTTTGTCTGGTAGTTTGAGAAGGACGAGGTATTGTATATGTGAAATAGGGTAAGGTAGGTGAGTGTAATTGGAACTGGGGTGGTGGATATGACTATAGAATAACTTGTGAGATTGGGAGTTTAGAGATATGGATCAAGAAGGGCCTTCGACTGTCAGCATTTATACATTTTCCTCTAGCTCATCGACTCTTACCATTCTTGTAGCCTATCTCGACCCTATTCAAGATATCATGTTACTTCTCCGCATCTTCCGTCTCCCTCTCTTGTTCATCTTCTTGGCAACTAACTCCCTGTGTAAGGATCCGCAAGCCAAAATCTGACGATCTCGCGGAGAGGAGTTGCGGCTCTCAAGCTCGTTACGAGATCTTCCTGATCGACAAATCTTGACTTTCTCAAAGTGGTTGTTGGGTTCGGACGTGTCCACAATCATAACTGACGAGTCAGAAGTAGGGCGAGTTCACTGTGAAAACAACCCCTGATTGTCACAAACGGGCAGACTGAGCAACCTCACGACACCCTCTCTAGATGAGACCGGCAAGCCAAGAGTCCAATCCCATGCCTGGCCCCGCAAAGCTCTACGCCTGTCGCCTCGTGGCGTGGATTATCAGACCGACGTTGAGACGAGAACGCGGAGCTTTGCTAAAAGCCACAGAGCCTAGCACGCCTGGGTAAGACACGAGACCCTGGAAACCGAAACTCATACTGAAAACAGCCTCGATGTGGGACGATGGGAAAGAGTGTAGAAGACCGTGGGGTTCAGAATGTCTCTCTAACCTAGGCCAAGACACGAACTAATAAGCTGGCATGCGGGTGTAGCCGCCGCCGACGACGCCGAGCCCTCGTCGGGGGGCTGTCACGTAACAGGCCCTGGAGCCGGACCAACGGCATCGTCATAGCAGATGGGACGACAAATTTTCTAGCCATAAGCTGAAAGATCTCCCCGTTAGATCGCCAGGGAGTCAGAAAAAGCTTCGCACCAAGACCCCTACCCGACGACAAGTCTGCAACTAGCTCGTGGGTACGGTGAACCAAGTTGGAAATGATCCGAATAACTCTGACACAGAGGCTAAAGCTGAAAGAAGCTGAAGCTGGAAGAAGAATTCGATGAGCTAAGGAGGCGGGAGCTAAAGCTGTCAAACTCCACGATGTCTCACGACCCCCTCACATTCACATTCCTCACTTCCAGGTGCCAAGCCACAGAAGCCACCCGCAGTGATGTTCGCCATATCAAAGGGGGAAAGCAAAAAAAAGCCACACCTGCAACGCTAAGAGAGCGGCCCGTCGGCCGGAAGCCAGATGCTTAGTGTAGTGCAGACCTGCACTACGAGCTCTTGGCTCGGATGTCTTGGCGTCCGTTGAACGTGGTCTTGCCTTCCTTCGTCCAGGTTCTTGTGTACATGACAAGCTTGCTTGCAGTCTGCATGCCCTCTGCAAAGACAGTGCATCTTTTTCCAAGTCTTTGCGCCTTGAAGGGTATCTTGAAAAAATTGAAAAATGCATAGAGCTCTGCAAACTCTTGAGAGCTTCTATATGATCAAGAGCACGCGCATTCAATGCTGCAAGGAGCTCGTCCTCGCGTTCCGAGCGGCTGGGATCTGGGGGGGGAGAATGATAGCTCCTGCTCAGACTCTCTCCTCGCAGGTCATGACGTGCTCGCCCAAACGCAAAAGGCTGTGATCGAGAGGCAGGGTCCGCCGGGGCAGAAAGAGCCCCCAAGCAGCATAAATAAGCCATTTTGGCTTTCTCCTGGCATAGGCATGGCTACCCAATTCAAGTCCTAAAAGGAGAGGGTGGGGGGATGGACAGAGGATGATGGAGAGCAGGAGATGCGCACGTCAATCCTGCACTCCGGCCGATCACGAAGAACTTTGAGAGGGAAACAGATTTCCTATCTGCCCATGCAGGAAGCAAAGAGCTGCTAGGTTGAACGTTATCCAACACCAAAAACGGCCGCAAGTTCCCACAGCCACTGCCACTATGAGGCTCGGGCATGCGCGTCATTGAAGGAAAATGTCTAAAAAGTGAGTTCTGACACTCTGGTTGAAAGGGCTCATGCCCGTTCTAGATGACCCAGGGCTCCGTGTACATGATGCCAGCCATCCGTCTCCCAGAATGTCGGATGCCAAAGGATGAGACGGGCAATGGGCTTACAGAGAGATAAGAGGTTGCATTCGAGCTGAAAGGATGCTTACTGTAGCCCAGCCAGGCTTGACTTGCTGCCGGATCCCGTGCGATTAAACCTCCCGCCAGGACCACCGGGAGACTAGCCGGCTTGATCCTCGAGTGTCAGGTCCAGCCAAGGCATTGGGTTCTGGGGTAAGTAGAGTTTTTCTCCTACCAATGTAACTTTGATGAGGGAAGCGTAAGAGCCCAATTGTATAGGCAAGAGAGAATGGCCAAGCTCATACGGCGGATAGCTCGGAGGGGACTCTGTCTTGGTGTCCGACAGATGGTGGTGGCATGGTGTTGAATCTTGACTGGGGCCAGTCGCAAGCTTAAACGTTCCCCGTTGTCCAAGTTGGGAGAAACAAACAGGCCGTTAGTCGCCGAGTCGTTGAATGAAACTTGGCTATCGAAATAAGGCCGCGGCGGCTACGTGGGGGTGACTTGGCTTGGGTGCTTTCGTTATCGGTGTCTTTTGGATCTCCGACGCCTTGTCGGTCGGTGATCGGCCACGGGTGTTGAAACACGCAAAGAGCCGCCCGCCACGTGTTGGTGATGGCCGTATGTATTGTGATACGTCTACCGTGCGCGAAACCGCAACCTCTCACACAAGACGTCATATGACGTTGAGGTTCCCATTGCGAAAAAAGAGGAGCAGTCGAACTCCGTATTGGAATTCCTTGTAGGCTTGTCCTCCCCCCCGGGAAGGAAATCCTCATTTGCGGTAGTGCAAAAGGCGGGAGGATGTGCGGGGGATTTTCCCGTTGCCCTGCATCCGCGTTAATAACAATTAAGGCTTGTGTTCCAGGAACAACCCGGTGACATAAAGCGTTTACGACTCGAGGAAATTCTGGACCACTGCACTGACTATTGCCTCCTTTGGCCGATCTTTGGGGTGGCTGTGCGTTCCGCTTTCCGGTTTCGCATTGATTTCAGATCCCGCCGTCTCCCTACATGATGTGTGTGTTCTCCCCCTCCCCTGGACCGTTCTTCCCGCTCTCATCAAAATGGGTGTTGGTCGCATATTTTCTCGTCGACGCTGGAGCCGGGTTGTTGAACAATCAGATCTCCATCACCAACAGTCGCCGGCAGTTTCTACTATGCCCGACGTCGAGATGGCCCGAACGGGAACCGTACAACGGGAAGGGGAGAAGGAGGAGGACACCGAGTATAGGCCATTGAACTGGAAGAAGATCTTCTTGACGCCAAAGTATATCCGTATGAATTATCCGTTCGACACTGAAAAGAAAAGGGGAGCTGACCAGGGCGGCGTGCAGCATTTCACCTCTTGGGCATTGCCATCATTGTGGCAACAGTCTTTATCAGTCTTCACCATGACGAGGTCGTTGAGGTATGTGCCGTTTTTCTGGAGGTGAAAAGGATTCATTTACTAATGTGTGGTGCGATCATAGAAACTGAGGCCCTTTTCTGAAAAGGTCCGATCGCTCCCTGGAGGGTTCTTGATTCCGATCGCCATCTTGATCCTGATCTCGTTCCCGCCCCTCTTCGGCCACGAGATTGTGGCTCTGTTGTGCGGTGTGGTGTACGGCCTGTGGATTGGATTTGCAATCGTCGCAGCCGGCACTTTCATCGGAGAGAGTACGACGTTCACAAACCCTCACGTATGACCAGTTCGCTAACTCAAATTGCAGTCGGAACGTGGTTTGCATTCAAGTATACCTTGCGACGCAAGGCCCAAAAGCTGGAGAGAACCAACCTCAACTATGGGGCTTTGGCGCGATTGACTCGCGACGGCGGATTCTGGGTATGTTCATTGGCATGGGTTGCTCGAAGACGTGGGCTGTTTGACTGACATTCCAAAGATCGTCTTCATTATTCGATTCTCGGTCATTCCGTCCCATTTCTCGACGGCGGTGTTCTCGACATGCGACGTTAAGTTCTGGCACTTTGCCGTGTCGACATTCTTGACGCTTCCGAAGCAAATCATCCTCGTCTACCTCGGTGTTCTCCTGATCGAGAAGAAGTCGAACAATAGCAACAACACCATCAAGAATATCGTCTTCGGCGCGACATTTGTTCTGACCATCGCACTCGCGGTATACATCTATGTCAAGATGAGAAGAGTCAAAAAGATGCTGTTGGCGGAACAGGAAGAGAGGAGAGTGCAGCGAGAGTTGCAGGAGTTGCCTCAAAAGGTTGAGGTCGACGCAGTCGAGACGGAGATCGTGCCTCTCCAGCCTGGCGCGGCGACGGTGCGAACAAACAGACCGGGATACCCACACTGGATTTGAGGGCTAGAAGCCACCACAGGGAAAGATGGAATTTTGGGAAAACAGATGTCCGGGAACTTGGGACACAGGGATGGGAAACATGGGACATTTGCTCTTTGGAGTTGGCGTTGGCATGCGCAACATAGCGTTGAGGACCAAGAAGAAATGATTGGCTTTGGTTTCTGACAACAAAATAAGCGCCCTTCCTGAATGTCTCGAAGTGAAACCCGACTGCACTGGCTCCTATGCCAGTGGAACGTAGGCAAAGACAAGTTGCCAAGATTTGTCGGCCATCGGAGTTGTCTCCGTTGAGCGAAGGAACGAAGTATCAGAATCTTCCGATGTCGAGATTGGCGACTCGATCTCGTGCGAGGACCCGTGCCGAGATGATCCATATATACAGAGAGGCGCCTGAAATTGCCGATTCTAGGTGATGTGCCAAGATCGATGAGACGGTTTTCCAATATCCCTCTGACTATCCCATCAACTGCTAGATAGCGTCAGTATATAGGTAGGTACTTTAGTAGGGGGAATAACGAATAATCTAATAATCCGATCCTATTTCCCTTATATCCGCCTATGAATAATCTCGAAATAGGGCGAAATTAGAGAAAGACTGGAGATAGACGTAGCGACGCCATCCAGCAGTCAATGGGATACAGAGAGGCGCTTGAGGTTGCCGATTCTAGGTGATATGCCAAGACTTGATAGGACGGTTTTCGAATGTCCCTCTTACTGTACACATCAATTTTCGGACAACGATTACACACCTCCAGCAGTTCTCCCATGGTTCAAACCCAGCTTCTGGTTTACCAGGGAAAATTGCGTTGTTCAACTTCAGTCTGGCTGGTGTTGGGGTAAACCAATTGTTTGTTACCATTTCCACGGGGGGTTACAGAGTGGGATTCGGAAATCTCCATATCGAAATGCGCCAATTCTGACCCACGTAGTCCTGCGAGGTGTATGCCAGAAGGGGGAATCATCTGTGCTCCTACTGTGCCGTCCCTAAAATCTTTGCGAGAGAAATGCCATCGAACTCTGGCAGGAGGCGGGAGCAAGAACTGGCGGCGAGTCATCCCCTGGATCCGATCCATAGGATGACCCTGCGGGAGAATGGCGTACAGAGAATTTATCCGGCCTGATGGGAGAATAGGTCCGGAGCAACTCCGTGATGAGGCTGAGGCTTGAGTTGGAGGTTGCAGGTCTGACAGGTTGGGGGTAGTCGAGCGAGTCGTTGAGGTCCCGGCCGAGTCGTGGCTTGCGAAGGGAAGAAACACAGAAGAAGTGTGGCTCGTGCATGGAACCTGGAAGGAAGTGCCTCCAAAGTGTTTCCTGCGCCTAAGCCAGTGTGGGATACCGGAATTGACCAATCCGAGGTCGGCAGGAGTCAAGCTCACAGCGTATCTCACCCCGCCTCCTGTGCTGAGTCCGCTGTGGCCGATGCCTCTGCAGCAGGCTCAGACCCAGCGGATTCTGCGCACTGGATGGCCGTGGTCTGGTCCCTGGACGGGGTTTCCTGCTGGGGCTGAAGGGGTAAAAATAGCATCAATATCATGAAATTGTCCGCAGCACTTACAGACTGCAGGGTCTACGTCGGTGGCTGTTCCGGTGGCCCTATTTCGTTCATTCCGGGGAAATGAATCTAAAGTTGACTCTGCTTTGAATGAGAGATCGTTTCTACTTCTGGGGCTCTGGTTAACAGTAGATGATCCAGCGCTGCACGGCAGGTGAGTGACGGTGATGGTGGGTAATTGTTCACAGATACGCGGAGAAACCGGTAACAAATTGCCGTCCATTCCTCATCCGGAGGCCTTGTCGTTTTCCCCCTGATGCTCCATCTCTCTCCCACGTCCGGTCCATGACAGGGGTCGTGGATCGGTTAATCCGTCTTCAACTGAAGTGTTTTGATGATGAGAAGAATTATCTGAGAGTTTGCGGTACCTCAAGATTTGAGAAGCCTGATATTATTCTTTGAAGGATCAAGTCACTACGTGTAGGTACGCATTTCCAGTGAACATTTTCTTTCAGCCTTTTCATAATTAAGACTTGGTTGATGAGGCTCAAATACAGCTCAGTCGAGCCCAGGAACCTGACCATACCTTAATGAGCAAAAACGCCTTGGCCCTCCACCATGACCTCATACGCGAATGAAACAACGCGTTTTCTGGGGAGCTAAGGCCAGCGGCCTCCAACTCATCAGTCGACATGTTGTGTGTGCCAATGCACTGGCACCTCTGCTATGGGCAGTTCAGTATTCGTGGACGAATAGTTGGACAGGCACTTGGAGATGCAGGAGCCAGGGGACTCAAAGACAACGATGTGGAAATCAAGACCCAGGAGTCGAGATCAGGGTCTTTTCGTTGGCATTGTTCGCACCTTGATTCCCCCCCCCCTTCCTCAAGTTGGTTGGACCCTGCAATCACCTACCAACTGCAAGCCGCGCGCAAAAAAAGAAAACCCCCCGGCCTTTCACTTGTCGTGCGCCGTGCGGTGCTCAGTAATACCTATCCTGTAGCGCGGCCACTATCGACGTCGGGGTGGCACGGTGGGTGTAATTGGTAATTGGTAGTTGGAGGCTTGGAGAGCAAACTTGCAAGGTTGAAGAAAACCTGAAGAGAGTGCCCAAGAGGTGAAGTGGGCAGGGAGCCTGGCTGAGTCTCAAGAACCCGTGGTGGTGCGGCGTGCTTTTCCCCTTCCCCTTTGGTCCCCCAGTCCACTCGGGTGCCTTTTCTCTCCCAGTTCCTTGGTATTCAACCATTACGAGTACAATCCTGGCCACTGAGAGCTGCTGCGCCTCCTTCCAAACAACCCATCGTCTGTCTACCTTACCTCAGTCTGGTCTTTGCCATCAAAAAAAAAATCCGGTTCTTTTTCTTTTTTGGAGTCTCAGAGCCTCTACATACATAATCGAGCCTATTGTACCCAAAGTCCCAAATCGCAACGGACACCATTCGCGTGCGATCCAAAAGTTCCGAACCAACATCGCCCAAACCCACCCAAATTACGACGTCATGGCTGCTGTGCCGTCAGATCCTCCAGCTGTGGCTACCACCACCACCACCACCAATCCTGCCCCGACGAACGGCGATGCCAAGAATGCATCTGACTCCACGGAGACAGCTACGCTTGTCACAGAGCCCAATACTACGATAAAAAGAAAGGAATTGAAGACGGCCCCGGAGCCCAAGAGTTCAGAGAACACAAATGGATTGTCTTCGTCGAATGGTCAAGATGCGACGGGAGACGAACCGAAGCCCAGTCTACCTCCTCGGCCGACATCAATAGACGCCAGGGAGGGACTGCAGCCCACCGACCAGTCCGTACAACAGCCACCAAACACTGCAACGACAACGAGCACAAAGTCGCCGAGGACCTCTACGACCCAAGGCGCCGACACGGCAGTGACCTCGATAGAAATCGACAACACCAAGCCCGCCGACTTTGAGGGCGAAATCTCCACCAACAACGACCTGCCAACACCCCAGGTTCTGAAGAAGATTGAGAACTACGTAGTGCTGGACCGTCATGGCAAGAGCCATACGTTCAAGAGCTTATACACCGGTCGTAATGTCGCGAGGCGCGTCCTCGTCATCTTCATCCGCCACTTCTTCTGCGGCGTACGTCTCCCCTTGATCCCTGACCGACCCTTCTCGTTACTAACCCTACCAAGAATTGTCAGGAATTCCTACGATCACTATCCGAGTCGATAACCCCTGACGCCCTGCTGGGTCTTCCCATGAGCACATTCATCACCGTCGTTGGCTGCGGCAACCCTGGCTTGATCGAGATGTACCTCCAGGAGACCGGCTGCCCCTTCCCCGTCTACACCGATCCCACGCGACGTCTCTTCGACACCTTAGGCATGACGCGCACCCTAGCTCTGGGAGCTCGACCGGCCTACATGCGCAAATCCATGCTCAAGTCTGCTGCCGAGAGCGTCTTCCAGGGATTGAAGCAAGTCAAGAGCGGCCTGGCCACGAAATCTGGCGACCACAGGCAAGTCGGCGGCGAGTTTCTCTTCGAACCACTCGAACTCGTCACACCCGTCTCAACACCATACGCCGAGCGGCAGATCGAGGAAGCCATGACGTCAAAGAAGAATAGCATCGACAACAAGGAGGGCATCGACGGAGAGGGCGGCGACGACTTTGAACCGGAGGAGAAGAGGGTAACGTGGTGCCACCGCATGCGCTCCACACGAGACCACGCAGAAATACCCGAGCTGATGGAGATTCTCGGCCTCAATGGGTCCGGAAAGCCTCCTGCTCACGAGAATAAGAGGTGGTCCAGGGCGCTAGAGACGAGGAAGGGAACCGGGCTGAGCATGGCTAGCCAGATGAGCAAGCTGAGCGAGCAGGAGCGAGCATAGGAGCGGCGAGGCTTCTTTTGGGTCGTCGACGGGTCAGTGCGATCCGTCGTTCGCCAAGGCTCTGAGAATTGGGGATGAGTTACCGACGATTAACGGATCCAGGCCGTGCCGCGTGGTGCGTGGTGCGTGGTGCGTGGATGACCGCGGTCAAGCTGCCGAGTGGTGTTTTCGTGATTTTATTTTACAAGGGCTGAGATCAGCATAGCCGCTCAATGATACCTGCAGCATACATCACATCTCGCATTTCCATGACAGAACGGGTCGATGTGCCAGGGCGACGGACCTCGCGTCTCTTAAGTTACCACGTTCCAGCGTGGAAAGATGTGGTTGAATCTACTCGACGAGGGCAGGTGCCTCGTCCCATGGAAGAGATGAAGTGGGCTACAAGGTTTGACTCCATCTAGATCATCCAAACTCGGGCACAACTTTCTATCGCTGTCCATCGTACCGGCGACAAGTTGAGGCCTCTTTGGTTGCAACCTGCCATACGTCTTCTTCACCATTCTGGGGCATGCGAAAATGAGCAGGGGCAAGTACGATAAAATAGGTATCCAGACCGTATCGTCAGATGAACCAATGTCAGTCTCACCCGCTCAGTAGATACCTCGCATCCTTCCGGGCGTCTTAAGTACCTTCACTCAACAAGATACCTTCCCAAAAAAAAAAAAAAAAAAAAAAGATATATCCTTCTATTTTTTGAGCTCGTATGGGCGTCGCTCTTATCACGAGAAAGTTGAATCGAGGCAGCAACGTTGGCTCTCCTACGCTTCTCGTCGCTGCCTTTGCCGTCGACAAAATGTCTCAAACTCATCGCCAATGAAGCTCTCAGGCCCATCTCTATACCTTTAAAAGGCCTCAACCAGCCCGAATCAAGTCGTCGCAAACCTCGGATCCTTCAGGGCCCAGCTTTTTAGTCAATACCAATGTCACGAGAAAGCCTGCTCCGCCCCCGCGACATGTGCATCCAATCGGGCGGGAACCCTAAGTCTCCCAGGAGCGTTCCTGTCACGATAGTTGGTAAGCCACTAGGCTTTCTTAATTTTCTTTCTTATTGCCTACTTTGGAGAATGCATGTTCCCGTGGGAGGTTGTCAAAGTGCTAAGCTTATATTTAGAACATGCAAATCTGGGGAAACGGTTTGGCTACCTGACTAGGGCGTACATTCGTAAGCTTAGCCCGGGCAGTAGGCTCTTCAGATTCCCGGCAGGATATTACGGGCTTTTTAGCTGTCGGCTTCGATCTAGCAGGGCTGAGCAACAACCTGCCAAGCGGATAGGGCGTGCTGACGGGCTTGAGATCCTCAGCCCGGGTTCCTCACTTACCGCGAAGCGGCACTTACGCAAAGTGGAATAGGCAAGAGAAGAGGCTAAGGAATCTTTTCCGGGAGATTCTATCCATACGGCTATCTCAGCAGCGTAACTGTAGAGTCTGTCCGGAAGGCTACGACACACAAGTTTCTGCGGGCCTTTTAGTGAGGCGGAGTCGTGTCTTTTGCCTACTTACCCGGGTAGATGGCTTGAGGTTGTTGGCCTCGTGGTGTCCGTTGTGATACCCGAGAGCTGAGTGCTAGAGGATTGTGACATCCCTCTCTCTTACTCTCACACTCTCCATCAGCGGCGATGTTGTTTCTCAACTCGTCTCCGCCTGGTGAGATGTCGGGCGCAGTAGCTGACGATCCTTCTCCAGCGCATCGTGATGGACGAAAGGGCTTCTTCAACACGAATTGAACGGCAATGGGAAGACATCTATAAATCAGGATGGTTCCCTCAACTTCACAAGACCTTCCTCTCATCCACACCATCATCAACAGCTTCAACTCCAGCCTAACAAGCATACCAAACTCAAGCCTTCATCTCGATATCACCAACCACCTTCACCAAACAAACCCCTTTTACCAATCCAACAATGCAGCTCACATCCATTCTCCTCCCCGCCCTCGCAGGCCTCGCCAAAGCCCGCTCAACCCCTTCGGAACGCCGCCAAACCTCTACCCCAGGTTGCCGCCTCGTCGCGCCCACAGACCTAAACTTTGGCGTCGCCGACCTCCGCTCCGGCACCGTCGTCACCAAAGTCCTCACCTTCCCCGTCGGTCCCACCGCCGCGGGACCCTGCCAACTCGTCGGCGCCTTCAGCCAGGGCTTCCCCATCGACCAGGGCGGCGACGCGTTTGCCCGCCTCAACGTACGCGCGCTGGACGGCCCCGCCGCGGGCAGTTTGGTGGGTAGCTTTGGGCCGCTCGAGGTGGCGAATGATGCTGTTGTCAAGGATACCGTGCAGGTCGTCAACAGCTTCTCGTGCCGTGAGAGTCTGGCTTTCGAGTTTGCTATTGCGAATGATGCGGATGTGGATGTTGATATCAATGTTACGTTCACGGCGTCTGAGCTTGGCGGGTTCTTTGTGCAGGTTGGGGACCAGTGCAACTGAGCGAGTATGCTCGGCATGAGCCTTGGATGGGGCGGGGGAGTGTTGCTTCTTCTCTGCTTAGATGGTGGGATTTGGTCTTTTGATTTTGCATTGGAGGAGCGCGTGTTTACTGGGGTATAGCATGGTGGACAGGCAATTATGGGCTTGGGAATCTGTCTTCTTGAACTTTACTGGTACTTCTACCAACTAAACCATTCTGTCCTCAAGAGTCTCTGATCCTGCGTGAGCCTTTATTGATCCATCCGTATCCTCAGTATTCTCTCAGCTCATCCTTTTCCCATTATCACTCTGGTCTCTGTATCCGCCACTTTTCTCATTCTTCCATTGCCAATAAGCAACTTGGTCCTACTGCCATGTAGCAATATGACGAGGGAAACAAGCTCGAAGTTCGTCAGACAGAAACTGCCAAAAGCAGCCAAAGCGGGCCAGAAAGCTCTGTGAAAATTGAGTATCGTCCTAGGCAGGCAATCTGTTAGTCTTTGATCGAGATGAAGATGGCAGAAGTGACCATATGCCATTGGGGGTTAGCTGTGGCGCCGAGTACTCACGTTCAGTGGTTGAGTAAGCATACTAGTAGCTTCCATTGTATCTTTGCCTCTGCTTTCACAACAGGAAAAGCTATCTGGGAAGCGTTTACCTTTCCTGAAAACGAGGGACCTGTAGACGATAGACCGAGTCACGCTGAGAGACTACTTGGTGTCGGCAGGCTTCTCATCGACGGACATGGTCTCGGCGGATTTGTCGTTGATAGAGTTGGCCTCGGCGGACTCGTTCGATGCGGGCTTGTCCTCGAAAGGGTTGAACTCGAAAGACTCCATGTTGTCATAGACAGGCTTGACATCCTCAGTCTTGTCATCGCCAGGCATCTCATCGCCAGACTTGCCCTCGGCGAACTTTCGGGGGTCCTTAAACTTCGCACTGCTCCAGTGAAAGAAGCTGTCACAAGACGTGCAGCTAAACATCCAACCAAGGAAAGGAATCAGAAAAATTCTCAAAACGAAGAAGAAGAAAAAATGTAATGATTTCCACATATGGAGAAAAACTTACCGGACAACATCGCAGCCACCATCAATCTTCTCAGCTGGGATGTGGCAATTGGGGCACTCCTTGATGGTCAAACGCGCCATGACACGACGACTCTGACGCGCAAGTTCCTCCTCAAGCTTTCCCTCCGCCTCCCAACCAGCCCGAATCTGCTCGCAGGTGATGCCCTGGTGGACCTCGTCGCCGCATCGAACGCAGGTGAGCTTGCCGCAGGGGCAGGTACCAGTGCCGTTTCCGGTGCCGGCGTCAAGGTTCGGACCGCCATGACGGTTCCGAGGCGGGATGTAGCGGCCGCAGGCGGTGTCCTGGCAGTAGAGAGCGGCGTTGCGGGGGATCTCATCGGTCTCGGCGGCGAGGTCGAAGTACGTTCTAGCCTCCGCGCGGCGAAGCAGCTGGCGGGCCCAGGTATCGGGGACGGACATCTGAGATCCGCAGACGCCCTCGCACTGCGGCTTGTGGAAGGGCTTGTAGAGGCACGAACGAAGGTAGGCGGTGGCGCACGTAGTGCAGTAGGGAGCACAGCCGCAAGGGAAATCCTTGCGGCTGGCCTTCTTGCAAGCCTTGCCGCAGAGGCAGCAATCCTGAATGTCTTTGCCGCGAGCGTCTGCCATGATGCCTCGAGCGTGGGTAAATCGAATATTGATGGTTGTTGTGGTGCTGGCAGCTCCCTTGAGTATTGAGATAAGCTGACGATGGAATTGGAAAGTGGAAAGTCCTGGAACGGACTCGAGGATTTGGTTTTTACAGAAGGATGGAGCCGGGATCTTCTAGCAGCCTACAGTGAGCTCTTGTTCTTGCCCTTTGAATGGGTCTTCTTTGAGAGGGACGACACTCTGGCCGTGGAAGGCCATTGTGAGAGTTCCTCATGAGGACGGGGACGTGGGGGCTTAGGACCATTGAGGGTTTGTAGTTAGCCGGTGCCTCGAAGATGGAATCCTCACAAATTCGAGACGTAGACAGCTTGGTCTTGAAGTGTCTGCAGTGAACGTGGCCACCAGAAAGCATGAGAATTGAGAGTGCTTCAAATTTTTGGAGTCTTTGGCTTGGTGTGTAGATAAGATGTGGTGTAAGTACTGTCAAATCATCTACTGGATTGATGAGAACTTGACGATGTCTTTGTGTTGTAGAAGTGTTTGAATTGTCGAGGGTCATCAGGCAGCGTGGATCTCCTTTTCCAGGTGATTCTTTCGTGCCTTGAATTTCCTTTATAATCGCAAGCTTAGCTCTCTCTTGTTTCAAGAAAAGACCAAGGATTCGACTCTGTCAAGAATATCCACGATGCTTCTGCGGGATATCGGACACATTTCATTGGAGCTTCATATCTGGATTATGATGTATTCATGACAGCCTTATGTTTACTATTATATACTGGTTAGAATTCATTTCCCAGGACAAATTTTTCGAATATCAATATACAATCTTCGGCCTTCTCTTAAGATACACAGCGGATATCTTGAGGAAGAAGGACCCTTATTCTAAGCTCTACCTTAATTGGCGGAAGTAACATCCTCTCAAGAGTAATTACGTCTAGATGGTTATCTTGAAATAGCAGAATTACATAGAGGGACTTATAGGTGAATTTTCTGGCGGGAACGGGCTGGGAACTCCTGCTGATCATCTACTCAGGCTCATAGCATATCAACGCAAGGGTTTGATATTGGGTTCTAGAGTAAAATGAGCAAATTTGGTTAATGAGAAATAAGCCCCTGGATTTTGTGGAACGGGTGAGCACAACTACAAGTCAGAATAGAGTGATACTCACCCGTTGATAGATAAGTACCGACTTGTCGTACTTTCTCTTTTCCTCGACTTCAGTCCTTTTTAAATTTCGTCAGGGAGAAAGTAGGGGTTCAGAGTACAGCTCGATTTCAATACGTTTAGTGACTAGCAACTAGACTGCCTTGATCTAATTAGACGCACATCACCATACATGAACAAAATGAAACGGCAAAGAAATGGCGCTTACTCGGCCGTACTTGAGATATCACGTTGTACTGCGTATGCACCGCAGCAGTTTGAGGTTTGACTAATGTTACATCAAGATGGGCCATGATCTTCTGAGCGCATGCCAAGAACTTGACCGATTCAAAGTGCTTCGACTGCAAGTCATGATCAAAGGGAGCGGGCTAGGTATTAACCATCGTGAAGGCACATGTGTTCTACCCCGCAACTTAGACTTTTCCTGCTAGTCGGCGTCTCAAACTGCACTCGACACAGCTTGCTAACTTTGCTCAGATCGTGAGAAAAAGCAACAGCGTAAAGAGGATCACGTATGCATGCAAGTGCCCTCCTGCGGGGTTTATAGGTCGTGGGTAGAGACCGTCTGTAGCCATGAAACAGAACCAAGAAGTCAGCGAATAATGACTAGAAGTTGTCACTTATCGCCGCGATATCTATAAGGGTCCACGTTGGACAGACTGACATCAGTTTTAGCCCCGGCTTCCCCTCTCAAGCGGTCAAGCTTATGTTTGCTTCTTGGCTAGTTCAGTGTGTAGCTTCTGAGAGTTATCTTTGGTTAACCACACCTTTTCAAATGCAACATTACGGCAATGTTTCATTGGCTTGGACTCTACCACAGAAATCCTACGAAAGTCACCATAAGTCCTGCCACACTGAGGTCAACGACTGGCAATACCTACAGCCGTATGGTAGCCCAGCGGCAGATGCTGCGACTACGGTGCCGCCCATGACTGCGGTTCCGTCTCTGCTCGGTGCATTGTGAACTAAGTGGGCGGCGGCCACTACACTTATTATTTGAAGGGGTCAGAGAAAGGAGGAGAATGAGCTGTCATCTCGGGTTCGCGGCAAAAGTTGTGTTTGAAAGTGTCTTCTCAAGTGTGTATTTACCTCGAGTCACTCGCTCAAGTTGGCTTAGATCGTGGGGTTTGATTCACTGAAGTTGCAGAGGAAACAAAAATCGGTAAAACCCCATTGGAGGCAATTATGGTTCTATGCAGGAGTGAAGTGCGTAAAGTTGCATGTTCCTGGTTCGAGACACTTATAAGGCAAGACGAGGCGAGTCGAGCCTAAAAATAGGGTATCAAATGACGTTGTGACATGTAAGAGAAGCAAACTTAGCCGACTTGAACCACGATCTGCCGCGTGCAACCCGCAGCCTAGTCGCAGCCCACGGGTAATAGGCGTCTGGAACCTTGTAATTAGCAAGGCCGGAGTTGCAAGAATAAGCGCCTCCCATGGTGATTTTCGATGGGGGGTGGACCGCTTGGCCGCAGACTTGGCTTTTTTCATTGTTCCCATTGCCCCCTGGGGATTTGCGACTCCAGGACCTGAGAATAGACGATCGGTTTTTTGCTTGGACCAGACGAATCAGGTGACTGCCTTTTACCTCCGTACCCGAGTTTTGGGAATATTTTTTCAGCGCGCCTGGCGGAAAGCTCTTACCAGGTGAAACGGGATTGGACATTGCATCCCTTAAAGGGGGCAACTCCCCGGTTAACGACTTACGGGGGCTTACCCCGCGCAGTTGCGTTTACCAGGTGGGGTTCAAAATCTGTGTCGCTCCCACCACCAACTTCACATCACACGCGAAATCTAGTATGCCAAGATGGCTGCCCAAGTTCCCACAGAAGCTTTGAAGAAGCTCAACGGTATGGCGCTCATCGCCGTAGCTACCAGCTATTCGCCCGTAAAGTCCGGATCTCTAGGCTAATCAATGATTTTTTCCAACAGTGGGAGAGCCTGCGACGAACGGCAAGGCAGCGAAGCCCGCGGAGGGAAATGGGGTCGACCACGACAGCGACGACTCGGATGAGGAGGGCGAGGATGTGACGGCACCTGCCGCCGGCGGAGCGGCCAAGAAGAAGAAAAAGAACAAAAAGAAGAAGAAGAAGAAGTCCCCGACCGCCCAGTCCGACCCGCCGCGCGTGCTCATGTCTTCGCTATTCCCCCAAAAGAACTACCCCAAGGGCCAGGAGGAGGAGTACCGCGACGAGAACCTCTACCGCACGACGAACGAGGAGAAGCGCCACCTCGACAACCTCAACAACGACTTCTTGACAGACTACCGCGAGGCCGCCGAGATCCATCGCCAGGTCCGTCAATGGGCGCAGAAGAACATCAAGCCCGGCCAGACCCTGACCGAAATTGCCGAGGGCATCGAGGACGGCGTGCGTGCGCTGACGGGACACCCGGGTCTCGAGGAGGGCGACGCGTACAAGGGCGGCATGGGCTTCCCGTGCGGCCTGTCCCTCAACCACTGCGCGGCGCATTACACGCCCAACGCCGGCAACAAGATGGTGCTCTCGCAGGAGGACGTCATGAAGGTCGACTTTGGCGTGCACGTCAACGGACGCATCGTCGACAGCGCCTTCACCATGGCCTTTGAGCCGCAGTACGACAACCTTCTCGCGGCCGTCAAGGACGCGACCAACGCCGGTGTCAAGGAGGCCGGCATCGACGTCCGCGTGGGCGACGTCGGCGGCGTCATCCAGGAGGTCATGGAGAGCTACGAGTGCGAGATTGACGGCGTGACGTACCCCGTCAAGTCTATCCGCAACCTCAACGGTCACACGATTGAGCGCTGGAGCATCCACGGCACCAAGAGTGTGCCCATTGTCAAGAGCAACGACACGACAAAGATGGAGGAGGGTGATGTTTTCGCCGTCGAGACGTTTGGCAGCACGGGTAACGGATACGTCAGGGAAGATATGGAGGTGTCTCACTACGCCAAGCGTGGAGAGGGCCACGCCGCGCTCCGGTTAGATTCGGCCAAGAGGCTGCTGAACGTCATCAACAAGAACTTTGGCACCCTGCCTTTCTGCCGGCGTTATCTGGACCGTCTAGGACAGGACAAGTATCTCCTTGGTGTAAGTTGACATCTCAACCGTTTACTGAAGACTATGCGCTGACAAATAACAGTTGAACAACCTTGTTGCCAGCGGCATCGTCGAGGCTTACCCGCCCTTGTGTGATAAGAAGGGCTCCTACACTGCTCAGTTCGAGCACGTAAGTAATCATTCGCCATTATTCGCCTGGGATCACGCTAATCAAATTCATCCAGACCATCCTGCTCAGGCCAAACGTGAAGGAAGTAATCAGCCGAGGAGAGGATTATTAGGCGGGGTGAAACCGGCCAAGGATGGGTATTGGCATGGGTTTTCTTTTCACTTATCGAGACTATCGTTCAGATATACATAAAAAAATCCAAGCAATCGAATCCAAGGTCGCCCGCCGTATCCATGATTTCGTTATGTGTGCATGATTTGATTGAATTGCTCTTGAACCGCTCTCGCGGGCATAGCAGCATGGGAGGAAGGACGTTAGAGCCCATCTGGTCGGTTCGTGACGACGAGTGACCTTGCCATTTGGGCCGAGTAGCCATCTCTGAAAATTCAGTCCCGCGAAGCCATATCAGCATCGTTCGCACACCGCCCACGAGTGCTATTATCACACAGCACTGGGGTGCTCAAGTACGTCTTTTACAAATTCATCACGATACCATAGAAAAGCTGGCTGTCCTGAGGTGTCTGGATTACACCATACCCTCAAAATGACCGTTATCCAATTTCTGCCAAAATGTGATGGCCCCATTACCGGAAACCCATCCCGCAGCCGGGCGTGACGGGGCTCGTCATAGTGGAGGAGAGGTCCAACACAATGATCCGGAACGGATCGCTCGATGGATAGCAGGGCCGGTCGCCGTGCATATCGACGGCCTTCCATCTCCGTGTATGACCACCTGCGGCGTGCTGCGGTGATGTCAGATGCCGTCACCCGGGGCCCGGAATGGAAACCGATCGGAGCTTACAGATGAAGACGGGCGCCGGGTGAAGTGGGTAGAGCCACACGGAACCCAGCGATTGCCTTACTAAGCCCACAGCTGGAAAGGACCCCTGCGCCACTTGAGGCTGAGGCATGTCAGCATGGCGTCAAGCAGAAGCATGCAGCGGCAAGATCATAGGCCGATCCAGAACTGACGACCCACTCATTCTTTTCCTTTTCGCCCCCCCCGAGACTCTGTCTGTCGCACCGTTCACTGGCACACTGGTCGGCGAACAGGAACTCCAAAGTCCACTTATTTCTCCACCGCCAATCCGCGCATCTCTGTCTCTCCAAGGGTCCGATCGGCGGCGTCCAGAAGCACGGAGAAGGGACATGACAGCCTCATCCGATATCCACCTCGGATAGCCGATAGCGTAAGAGGCGTCGGCCGCGGGTCGGCTGTCGGAGCTGTAGCAGGAAAGGCCTTGGCGGGAACCTGCTTTTCGTCGTCTCTTCTTCGTCACCCTCTCGGGCTGGGCGAAAAGTGTATTGCATGTGTGTGTGTGTGTGTGTGTGAAGAGGAAGAGTTTGGGCCTAGTCTCCCACCTCGCCGGCTTAACTTCCTCTGGGTAACGGGAACGGTACGGGACAGCAGCGAGTAAACGGCGTTAGGAAAGAGGAGAACCGAGAAATTCCCATTCGCGGATCCACCTTTAGGCCAATCACATGCAACCAGCGATTTCACGTCGGCGGCCAGCCCGCGTGCCCGCGTCGTGGTAGGTGCTGGTGCTGCTGGGCTTTTGGTGCCCCCATCCCAGGATCCCTTTCCCCCTCGTCTCCATTGACGCGGACCATGCGCGCCATACCCGAAACAGGCAGCTAGGCGAGGCAGGAGGCCCCAAGCCGAGCCAGACAGCGCGCTCCCTGCGGTGGAGTTTTCGTGCGTGGCTTCCCCCTTCGCTGCGAGTTCGCACGCGCCACCCCAAATTCCCATCTTTCTCCGGGGCACCGGCTGGGCCACTGGGAAGGAATGCGGCTGCTGCACCTGCCACCAAAAGTCCACAGAGAAATTTCCAGCATGAGAAAAAACCTTGTGGGGGCCTCGGTGCCTTGGGGTGAGCGTTTTGCCACGTCCTAATTGGTCAGATCAGCTTCCTAAAAAACCCGCACACGACACCCGCTCCACCCTCCGGCCTACCGAAGCTCGCTGCGCTGCTGCTCTCGGTTTTTTTCTCCCTCGCACCCCCGTCCGATTTCCCTTACTAGCAAGGTTCACCTATTATTTTCGCATCCCTTATATCAACAATTGCCTCCCTCTTCCTCCATTCTTCTCACACGAAAGAAATTTGACTCCTCACTGTCGCTTGACGATAAACAAACAAACAACGAGATACCAACAAGTTTGACTCGTTCCTATTCACGAATACCCACGACACCTACACGATACCTCCGAAACCAAACCTCGAAGAGCATAGAGGCATAAACGATAGCGAAGAAAACTTTCCCGCCCGCTCCCATCACACGAGCTTTCCCCTCCTACCTCTCCGCAAAATCCGATACCCAGAAGTAATACCAATCACCACCGCAAAACCACATTCAAGATGAAGGTCTTCTCCAACGCAGTAACCTTCAACTACTCCTGGGAAGAGGTCTCAGCAGCAAACTGGCGCAAATACTGCCCGTGGAACGACAAGACGACGCACGTAATCGCCGTCGACACAATCGGCCGCAGCGTCGACCCAGCCACGGGAATCCTCCGCACCGAGCGCCTCATCACCTGCAAGCAATCCGCCCCCAAGTGGTTCGCCTCCCTCGTCGGCGGTGGCGGCGGTGACCCAGACGTCTCCCACGTCTTTGAGACCTCCTACGTCGACCCGGCCAACAAGACCGTCACTATGGTTTCCCAGAACCTGACCTTCGCCAACCTCATCTCCGTCCAGGAGTCCGTCGTCTACAAGCCCGTCAGCCCGACGCAGACGCAATTCGTTCAGGACGCGCAGATCACCGCCCTCTGCGGCGGCTGGCAACGCATCAAGAACGGTATCGAGGACCAGTGCGTGTCGCAGTTCCGCAACAATGCGCAAAAGGGCAAGGAAGGGTTCGAGATGGTTCTTGCGATGAGCAGGCGGGTGTTTGCCGAGGAGCGCGAGCGCGAGATGCGTGTTCGCCAGGGCGCCATGGCAGCATGAGCGGTTTGATGATGGGATGAAAGTTACGAGTGTCGCTTCCACGACGACTTTCTTTCTTCTTCCCATCTTGGTTTGCAACACGACACTCGTATGATGCAGCGTTCCTCGTCATTTTTTACATATTTTCTCAACAAGCGGGCAGCATAACCATTAAAAGGATTCGGAAAAAAGGGTTTTTAGACGGCGTTCAGACATCAGTTTTTTTTTCCGGGCCAGGCCCAAAGACGGGGTGAAGGACTTTTCCACTCAACTCACTCGGGTTTCGAGAGGACAAGTCTTACCTCCTCAACTGTACAAAGACTTTCGGCGTTTTCAGGAATATCCCTACATGATAGAGCATCCGGGGGTTTTCCTCAGACAAGACATTTTCTTCAGTTCCAATGGGACTAGAATTAGAGTGTTTTTAGAAATAATAGGCCCCTCACAAATGATCAGCAAACTTTATTGCCGCAACATGGAAATGTCCCCCGTTTCATCGTGATTCAGCAAAATGCCTTTGTACTTTCTCGACCAAAGCGAACTCTTAAGTTGGGACAAGGAACCACTCGGGTGGCATACGGAGACATATTTCCTCATCTCTCCATCCGGCCCCGGCACTTCTCCTCATACCGGGCCAGCGTCTCCCTGGTATCCCTATCCAGCGCCGCCTCGCTCCCGTCCAGGACCCGCCTCGCAAACGCCGCGGCCTCGCCGAACCGGCGGAGGAAGTAGAGCTCTTCCACGGCGTGCAGGAGTTCTTGTAGCACGGGCTTGCTCGCCTTTTCTGTCTTGAGCGGTAGCTCGATGGTCTTCCAGATCTAGCACCCAGTCATCGAAATTGTCAGTCAGTATCCTTCATTTCGTTGGAAGTCTTTTTGCTGCAAACGCCGAGATAGAGGGATTGTCCGCGGTCCACGGTCCGGCGAGTGGAGAACCCGGGTGGCTTTGCTTTGATCGGGAGTCCATCCGAGCTTCGAAGGGACTGCGTAAAAAATAAAAAAAATAAAAAAATAAAAACACGAAGAGAAGGATACGAAGACCGAAAACCACCCCCTCGCATACTCCATTCGAAGGTACCTTATGATCAAGAAAAAGCCAACAAAATGGGGTACACATTGTTTCTGTTCAGAGGATAATTAAGAAGCAAGGGAAATAGTGACTCACATCGCCGTCCTGCACCTTCACCCGATACGTAGCCCTCAGCGCTTGAAAGTCCTCTTCCGACTGCCAGTCTCTGGGCTTCTGCTCCTCCTCGTCAGAGTCGTCAATGGCGATGTTGAAGAGGTCGCCTTCTTCGTCAGACATCTTTGCCTTTTCTCTCACTGAGTGTAATATGACTCTTGAGTGTAGGTAGAATCCGGGGTCAAGTAGAGTAAATGTCCCCGAAACTCTGTTAATTCTCTTTCGGAGGCTTCGGGGTGATTTTCTTTAGTTGCTTTTGACTGGTTGGACGGATTTGTAAGTCGACGATGAGACTTAACCAAGTGCTGGCGTTCAAATTCTGGAGAAGACAGGCGTCCGATGAAAATGAACCCCACCCCGATGTCTCCGCGTACTTGTCCAGGTGGTATCCAGTTCGCCGATGAATCGCTAAAAAGATATTGGATCCGTAATCGTAAGAAGCCCGGCCGCTGCAATTCGGAGGAGACTGACTGGCAGGACTGGGTGGGATTATGCAACTAAAAGATGCGAATTATGCTTGGAATGCAAATTTTTTACAAGCAAGTCCTGCCGAAACGGTTTCCCCAAAATGACATCAAGCCGCATGGCGGGGTTAGTGGGGCCGTTTATTGCACCTAGCGGGCCGAGAAAGCTCGAAAGCTGTGGAAGCTTGAACTTCATCCGTCCATCCCGCCCTGCTCCCGTCCCATTGAACCTTTAATTGACTTCAACCCGGTTGTTCCACACATACACGAACGAAAAATATAGAGAGTTTTCTGTGTTTGTGGAATCAAAATTTGGTACACAATGGAGCAGCAAGTAGCCAGGCTCGTAGAAAAGGCATGGGACAAGTTCCAGAAGACGCCTGAGGGGAAACGCCTTTGTGAGTCTACGCCCTTTCATGCCAAGTTATTGAGCAACCTAGCCCGGGTCATGGAGCTTCCTACGCCCAGTGAACACCAGCTCCGTTATAAATACACGATGGCTTCAGCACTCATCCCATCAGTCTTCTCCATAAGTGCACCCACCACATAAGACTGACATATCCAAGTGATAGGAATATCCGGCATCCCAGGCTCAGGTACACACCACCCACAACCCTCTCCTAAACCAACCCCGTCAACCCACCATCTAACACCCCAAACCAGGCAAAACAACCCTCTCCCAAATAGTGACAAACCGCCTCAACGCCCGCGCCTCAACCCTCGACCCCTCAAACCCAACCCGCACATCCCACCCGCCAGCAGCCTTCGTGCCCATGGACGGCTACCACCTCACCCGCGCCCAACTCTCCGCCATGCCCGACCCGGAAACAGCCCATGCCCGCCGCGGCGCAGCCTTCACCTTTGACGGCCCGGCCTTCCACAAGCTCGTCACGTCCCTCCGAGAACCTTTGAAGGCCGACTCCTCGCCGATATACGCCCCGAGCTTTGACCACGCCGTCAAAGACCCCAAGGAGAACGATATTGCTATCCAGCCGTACCACCGCATCGTCGTGTTCGAGGGGAACTACCTTACGCTCGACAAGCCGCCGTGGAGCGACGCCGCGAAGCTCATGGATGAGCTTTGGTTCGTGGACGTGGATTTTGAGGTGGCGAGGAAGCGCTTGATAGGGAGACATGTCAAGGCAGGTATTGCCAAGAATGAGGAGGAAGCTGATAAGAGGGCAAGGGAGAACGATCTGGTGAATGGGAAGGAGATTGTCGACTTCCGCCTAAAGGTCGACGAGGTTGTTCTTAGTCGAGAAGATGACGAGTGGATTCACGAATGAAAAAGTTGCGGTAATTTGTTCAGTCAAGGCTAAGGGGGTCTTTATTACTCGCTGTCGACCCTCTATCGTGCCGGAACTATGTTAAGGTCCTGTTCTGTTCCCTTCCCATCATGTATTAACCGACACTTCTGCTCAACCAATTTGATGGATATCGATGGAGACTTGCATCCTTAACGTCACTTGAGATCACATCCTCGTGGCCTTGTCTAAACCCAACTGCCATATGCAACGCTGAGAACTATTCTCCCCCCCAACATCCCCATTTCACTCGGCCGTAGCTCCCGTGAAGCTACCAGGGAACTTAGCTGCGCTATAGCCGGTAGCGAACATCGAGCCTCCCAGTCCCCGACGCGTACGAGGCTGATCGCTGCCATGGCGAGGAACTTGACCTTGAACATTGGGCTGGAACGGCTCTGCGTTGGGCGAGAATGCTCCGCCAGCTTGGCGGACTGGGCCGTTCATGCCCATACCCTCCCCAGGATTCGGATAGCTGATGTGGTAAGTGACCGTTACAGCGTGAACAAGGCCCGTCGGGAACATTCCAGGCATCATGGCCTGGGGGTGCATCAGAGGCTGCATCTGGGTCGCGTAGTGCACCTGGCCTGGCGCCACCTGACCGGCCGCCATCTGCGGCATAGGGATGCCAGAGGGCATGGCATAGCCTGTGGGGTTGGGCTGAGCCGCAGGGGCGGTCTCGGGACTGTGCACAGGAGCAGGCGCCGGCGTGGTGACGTCTGGCTCAGCCTTGACGGGAGCCTCGAACTCAACCGCTGAGTCATTCGAAGCGTTAGACATCGCGTCTCTCTTGTCTGATTCGGCAGTCTTGGAAGTAATCGGAGGCTCCTTGGGAAGAACATCCTGGGAAGCATTCTGGACATGGGCATGCTCGATCTCAGTAGCGGCACCCGTAACGACCGGGTTGGTCGACTCAATGACAGTGTCATTAGGCACGACTCCCTTCGCAGCATCATCTCCAGGAGCTTGGATGCTGTCAATGGACGCCTTCGGAATGCTGCTCACGATTTGCATCTGGGAATCGAAGTCAATGTCGATCTTGGTTTGGGGTGCCTCAATGGCTTCCAGCTTGACTCCACTGTCCGTCTTGTTCTCTTCCTTGCTGTCGGTGTTCTTCTCAAGTCTGCTCTCAGTCGATTCCTTGCTTGGCATTTGAGCTCTGGCAGAGGACTGCGCAGTAGTAGCGACTGTCTTGTGGTGGCTGATAGCTTCAGACAAGCCAGGCATTGAGACCTTCGAGACACTGTCGGTGCTTGTCTGTGTCTGCGTAGTTCCTGACATCCAGTTGATGGCCTTTTGGGTGTCGCGAATTGGCTGGGAAGCTCGAGGTTGCTGCAAATGAGGCGGCAGCCGGACTCCATTTCGGCTGTCCTTTTCAAGAGGGATCTTGATGTCCTTGATTCCGGCAGGAGCTTCAGCAGAAGAGCGTCTCCCCAAGAGCTGTTCAGAGCTGTACTGAACCCGAGGCGGACGGTCCGTGGTGTACATGGGGGAATCCTTGACATAGGTGAGCTTGAGATTGCTGAATGCATCCGTTAAGTCCTCCTCGCCATGATCCTTCTTCATGCGCACCGCCTCCGTGACCTTGACGACGGCCTTGGTGGGGGGAGCGGCCTTCGGGGCAGCCGGCTCGACGGGGGTGACGGTGCCCATGTCCACCTCATCCTGAGAAGCAGCCATTTCGCGGAGATAACTGATCACCCTCTGCAGCATGTCCGCACGCTGAATGAAGTCGGCAGCCGTCTCGGAGTCATCGAACTTGAGGCTGTATCGCGTCGGTAAACCCAACCCGGAAGCCCCGAAACTGACGATGCACATGTGGTTCTTGTGAAAGTCAAAAGTGTAGTCGTTCATGCTGTGGGTTTCGTTGAAGACACCAGGGCATTCAATGACACAGATGGCGTGTCCGTTGGGGTGCTCGTCAGACTTGATGGTCTTCATTTCGATGAGAACATCGTGATCCTTGCCTTGAACCTGAGCCTTGCAACGGCCAGTCCAGTAGGAATCGGAGCCCTTCTTGTCAGTCAACTGAGGCTGCTTTGTGGCATCTTCAGATGTCTCCTTCTCCTTGCCCTTGACACTAGAAGTGTTGTTCGAAGCTGGCGTGGGGGCTTTGATGGCTGTGCTAGGAGCGACAACTGGGAGGCTCTGAGTGCTCTTGGCTCTCAGATGAGGAGGCAAGGGCTTGTTGGCTCCTTCAGTAGGTCCGACCCTAGCAGTACTAGAGCCTGCGGCAGCTGGCTTGGCCGTGGAAGGTGTGCCAGGCGTGATGCTGTTTCCCGTGGTCTTCGCGCCAGGCTCTCCAACAACTTTCAAATGAAACCGATAAAGCTGAGAGCCAGGAGGCATCAGAATGCCATTCTGGCTTGTCTGCATGCCTTGGAAGTTGACTGTGCTATTATCGTTAGTCAAGCTTCTACCAGAGGAGAGAAAACACCTACTTGGGTCGGCGATTCTCGGAAAGGTTTCTAGCTGGACCAGCCCCAAGGGTGGGACGATTGACGTTGGGGCCACCTAGGGTAGGCAGCTGTCTAGCAGCCATAGCTTCAGCATCGTCCATACCTGTCTCTGCGAGCGCTATCATCATGATTAGTTGACTCCTATCCTGTTAAGTAGATGGGGAAAGCGTACCTCGGTAGCCATTGAGAGCCTCAGTATTCTCCACGTTGACAGGAGCGCGGCGGGCACGCGGCGGGATGACATGGCCTTTCGGGGTATCGTCAAGAGGCAACTCATTGATGCGATCCATACCGAGGTCGGCCTTCTCAAAGTCAGTCACACAGAATGAGAATGATATGCGGATACAAAATCAACGACTAACCATCATTGCACGCTGGACCAGCTCTTCATTGCTAAGTGACTGAGACGTAGCCTGGACACGAAGAGTCGGCATTTTGTCCGCCTTTCTGTCGACGCCCCAGGATCCCATGTTTGCAGGCAAACGGGAAGTAACTCTGGGGCTTGTTCTTGTTTTGGTGTCGTAATTTGGTTACGGTGTCTGTATTTAGATCTGTTAGAAATAATCGAGAGTTCGAGATCGTGCTGCCCAAGGTAGTTGCTCGGAAAGAGCAGGAGTAGGGGAAGAATTGGGATGTCAATAGGAAAACAGAAGAAAGGTAAGGACAGGAATGCCACTGATGATGACATCGAAAAATAGGCGAAGAGTGGCATATGAAATCGCGAGTAGAGATGTTCTGCTTAACTTACCGCTGGAGGTTCTTGGAACTTATCGCTGGTTAGGGATTTGTATGGTGCCGTTCCTGATGGATATCGACGAAAAGAAGATGAAAGGCAGAAGCCTAGTTTGAGATTTTGCTTGAGCGGTGCAGGAGGAAATAAGTGAGTGATATGTATGGCAGCTTTTGCCCTGATGGGATGTGTGTTGTGGTGTGGAAAAAGAAGATTCCAGGGTGTGGGTGTTTCTGAGGAAGGGGAAGAAAGGGAAAAGTGGATGGATGCTAGCAGTACCTAGGGCAAATTGTATGAGGGGAAGAGGAAAGGAAAGTCCTTGCCTTGGGCAGATAGCCGTGCTGTCTATCGAATTCGGAAAGAAGACCTGCTCGAGAACGGAGTAAGTGAGCGAGGCCGGTGGCAGGGGCGGGGTGTAGAACCGGGAACCAGAAGCAGCAAGGGCATATTCCACGATACCATAAAGCAGGAACACACTGGGGTTAGTGCCTGCTATTTTTTTTGTGAAATAAAGGGCAGGCATGGGGAATTTGAGTGCAGCAGGAAGGGCTAGCTCTATAAGAGTAAGATGCTCTTCTATAAACGACAGCATTGCTGGTAGTTAGAAAGAGCTGCGGAAAGAAAAGCTTTTCCTGATCAAAAGTGCATATTTCTTTGAAAGTCTGTGGCAGTCGACTGTAATAATGAGGTGCTGCTCTGCACTTCCACGGGAATGCATCTCAATCACTTTCGTGAAGGAAGTTCTTGCACAAGATCTCTGTCTTGGATTTTCCATTCATAATTTCATCAGGAGCAGCATATCAACAAATATGGTACTGTCAGTAATGGCACCAGGAGTGATGGGGTCAAATAGGAACACATCCAGACTTACCAGATGCTGCGATGTGGAAGACCAAGAATGATAGTCATGCTACATCTGAAGCGTACTTTGCTCGAACATGTAAGCTAATATACAAGCATCACATATCAGCGGAGGAGTCAATATATGCCCTGATATAAGAATGGCCAGTTAAATTTTGACGGAACTGGTCTAATCCAAAAAGTATTAAATGCTACTTCGGGTGTCTATTTGAATTATTTCATATTCTATCTACATCGAGTGACGCCTGCCATGAGATCATGCGAAGTTGGAGATGGCCCAAATGGCATTACGAGCTGTCAAAGACCATCCAGGATCTCGGAAGTAGTAGGAAAGCAATCATTCGATAGATCCATGCGGGTTTAATGGTAGATTTACTAGTGATCGAAGGATTGGAAATTTACTGCAATTCTATATAACTATTATAGTTCGACTTCTTTGACCAGCAACTTGAATACCAATTAAGCACTTTCACTCGCAGCAAGCCAAGTGTCGAACTCGCTTGGTCCTGCTTGAAGTGCATGGCGATGTGAGCAGTATAATCACGCCGATCTCTAGCCATCACTGGACAAGTTTTGTTGGTAAAGGCAAACCATGCCGATGTCATTTACTCATATCATGCCGTACTCTCTAAGTAGTCATACAAGGCGTGTCCCATCCATCCAGCCACAACCTTTGGTATATCCATCGCTTAACAAAACCCTTAAAAATCCGTTTATTTCGCAGCATCCTTGGGAACGCCGCTCAAGCCCTCAGTAGCCTGACGACCGACGTTGCTAAGGTCCTCACTGGCTTTGGAGGCGGGACCTCTCAGGCCGGAGGTGGCGCCGGTGCCCGTGCCGACGGCGGTCTCGGCGTCACCGCCGCTGCCGACGTTGACCTTTGTGGCGTCCGCAGAGTTCCAGTCGGAGGCGACGGGGGGCTGCTCGGGGAGGGGGAGGTTGGACTGGACCTCGCTGATCTTGTCGGCCTTGGATTGGGTCATGTTGGCGGTAGTTATTTGGAAAAAGGTTCGCTAGAGAGGATGTAAGTTAGCGTCTGTGGCTCTGTGGGTGCTATTGGTTGGGGGCCGTAGCGGCCGGGGTGCAGGGAATGTAGCTCACTGTAGTTGATTCGTTGACAGGGATTTTTTAGGTTTGATTGAAGTTGTTGGTGCTGTGACTTTGATGTCGGTCTTGTTTTGTAGTTGCTTAATGTGATGAGGGGAAAAAAAAAGAAGAACCTCTTTGTCGAGCTTCAACAGAGACTCTTATACACGAAGCTGGAGGAGGATGAGCTCCAGATTTGGCCAGACTCGAGCTTTCGGAGCCTCTACGGACGCTGACGTCAATTACGTCAAGCAGGTGCAATTGCGGCTCTTTGCGCCCTCCTTTGCCTGGAATCAGTGGAGAACCGTTGACGTCCATCGACGATTGTCGCGGGAAGTGGAGAACATCCAACAACAGATGGGCGATCAATGACACAAATTGGCCGGGAGGCTCAGGAGCAAAAGCTCCAGACGCTTCGATGAGGCAAAAGGCAACACGGAATTGAGGGTCAAAGTGGTGCCTAGGCATGAACAGAGCGTTTTTTCCTCAATCAGATGCATGTTTATTGAGGGGTTGTTGGTATCAGCCGAGTGGGCTTTTTTCGTAAGCTTCTGTCGCCCGTCCTTGAACGCCTTACTCCCAGAGTCCCAGCAAAGCCAACCGTAGTGCCGGTCTGTTCCATTTTCCCAATGTGCAGATGCTGATGCCGTCATGGCCATATCGACATTTTGATCCACTTCTGTCATCTTCCAGCCTTGTGCCAACCGCCAATCCTTCCCTTCTACCGCCACCACACGCAACTGTTCTAGCCCATTCTCTTGTCCGTTTCAGCTGAAGTCGCCTTGTCGCCGGTGTCGGGGTTCAGGTAGTCGGAATCCTCCGCCGCCTCATACTCTTGGATCAGGTCTGACACAACCTCGCGGGCCTCGTCGAATTCGTCCAGGTTCTCGGCAAAAGGTGCGGTCTTCTTGTAACCCTCCATGAAGGCATTACGCTTCCGCATACCGTCGTATTGTCTTAGAATTCTCTTGAAGAGCTAGGAGGTCGTCAGCAACACGAGCGCGTATCATGACCAAGGTCGTGGAACTTACAGTTGCGATGCTTGTGTGGTTTGCCAGCATCAATCCACTGACGCGGTGGGCCATTGGAATGTAGGGGCTCCGCTTTGTGAGGGCCACTTGGATGCTGGCCGGTCCCCATGGGATGAAAGTCGCCAGTCGTCGTTCCCGGATTCTCAGCAAGCTCTTGTGGACGTCCGTGGGATCCACTTCGCCCTGAATGACGTTCAGAATGGAAATGTAGCAGCTCTTCTTTCCCGGTTGGGTTGAGACCATGCGGTTCTTGGGCTGTAGCAGTCTCCGCATGACGTCCAATACTGTCGTCTTTCGCACAGTCTTGGCCTGCTCTACCTGATCGCCTGTGAATGGTGTGTATGCCGTCATCAAGAAATGGCAGCGGGGCGTGGGAATCAAAGAGGCCAAGATGCTGACCAGATCGTTGTGCATGTAGCCTGGGTATCTGAGTGTTGTCGTGCTTGCTGACATGACGGTCGATACCTACATTGTCCAGGTTAGTCTGAGAGCCTCGCCTATGGGAGCATAATTCCTACCAGTTGGTTTGTTTGAGCAAACGAGGGCTCCTGAACATGTAATCTATCGGCTGCGATTCGTGATAGAGCTCCGTTGTCTAGCACCACTACGGAGTCGGCATTCTGCGTTAACCTTCTCATGGCGAGAACACTGTTGTAAGGATGAACGACGACATCTCCTGAGTTTGTGGTATCAGGGAAGACGGAGTACGTCTGGATGATCTTCTTGGGGAACCGGTCGTTGAGTCGCTCGAGGAGGAAGGAGCCCAGACCAGAGCCAGTGCCGCCTGCGATCGAGTGCAGCATCATGAAACCCTGGAGACAGTAAGCAAAGCCCGCAAAACCAACACAGCAACGTTGCACGTACTTCTAGAGAGTCGCTACCATCAGCCTCGCGGTCGATCATCTCCATGATGTCTTCGTAGACCACTTCGCCAGTCTGATAACCATCACCCCAGTTATTCGCAGCACCAACTCCATTCTTGCCAACGTAGAAGTTCTCCGGGTTGTAAATGTTTTTGTAGGGGCCACTTTGGATGCCTTGTATGACCTGTAGCTCCTTAGCAAGAGAGCGTTCACCTGCTGGACTCGTAGACGTACCCTTGGCTCTAAATCGACCAGGATAGCTCGCGGGATGTATCGTGTGTCGTCGCTCTGGTAGTAAAAGACATCTTTGCGATCGCCGCCTTCAGTAGCAAAGTCTTCGAGGTTTCCGTCCTGGTTGATGCCGTGCTCCTGACAAAGCTGCTGCCAGAATTGGCTTCCAACTGTACGGCATTAGCTCCATTGCCCGCGACTGATGTTCTGTTTGGTGGGGTAGACTGACTGCTGTTGCCGCATTGTCCGGCCTGGACCGTAATGATTTCCCTGAATGACGAAGTCAAAACGAAGTCTTAGCAGATCAAGAGGGGCCCACGAAGCATACCTTGGCATTTTTGCAGTGTGGCGGCGGCTTTGGCGATGTTGGGTTCCAAAATCAGTGACCTTCCAGTCCACAACCTAGGTAGCCGTGATGTTGGACGCGACGGTGAGAGCTTATCGATAAGAAGATGCGCGTGACGCGCTCTGAGTGCGTTACGTAAGACATAGGCACTGAGTGGTGCAAGGTTGGGGTGCAAACGGGAAGGACAACCTGAGGCGCTAGGATTCTTCTTTACCGCCTGTGCCACACATCAAAATCCAAGCCACATCTTAAGAGACTAGGGAGACTCGAATGATGGATCTCCATTTCTCCATTTTTTCATTCACGGTGAAACAGCCCACGCCGACTGCCTAGTCAGGGCCGATCTGTCGTTCTTTGTTCCTTGGCCTTGTCCCTCCGCAATGGGTCTCGGCGGCCTCTCTCTATCCGAAGCGAACAACGGACTTTTCCTCGGATCCCACGTCCGCACCAAGGGTTGAGGTGCCAGGGTGCAGATGACATTTGGTGATGAAAATATCCATCTCGAGATACGCCGCCCTGTGGTTACGCATTTGCCAACCTCCCTCTCCTTGCGCGATGTGTACGGAGTAGGTATTCAGGCAGCCTGGCAGGTACTGAAGCACCGCTATCCCGACATAGGTACATACCTTGGGTGGTCCACGTCTCAGATCTATCCGAACCCCTATTGAACGCCCCCACGGCCCGGACATGCCATATGCGCGCAACAGGCGTATAATAAAAGCCATCGATCCATAATTGCGGGATTTGCGTCGTCTGTAATTGTGGTCATTTCGAGGTCGCACAGTCGATGAAAGTTTGGCTTAGGACGTAATCTGGGCAGAAACGGGCCCCTGTAGGGCTCATGTACATGTAATGTAGGAGCTCAGTCCTTTCCCGTCCGCTTCTGCGCCTTAGCTTCCTTTGAAGCGTCTTGTCTCTGGACCGATCCAAGCGGGAGATAAACCACAGCACAGGTAAGTCACATGGAACCGAGACGGCAGAGACGGGCAGAAATTCAATGTTCTTGCTCAATAAGGTAGATGTTCAACCGCGGACTCGGTGTCAAATGTCAATGGAAGCTCCATCAGCTGCACCGCGCCCGAATAGCGAAGGGAGCCACTGAGGATTTGGGCGTGACATCGGACTAAGGTGGCACGCCCCGGAGGGAGCCGCTAGGTCATCCCCCCTGCTCACCCCCCCTTATTCGCTCCCCTATTGGCGCCCATTGGCTCGGAGCTAAAGAAGCAATTAAGCCTCGTCCTCCACCAACGTTGCAACTTGCTGGGGATTTGCAGGCCCTCACAGGGATCACTGGTCCTGGGTCCCTCCCTTACCTTACCTTTCACTGCACCCCATCGCCCTCCCTGTCTCCCCCCAAAACCGCGACAGCCCAAGGTTCCTGGTCTCGAGGATCTGAGGTCCCGTCGTCTGACTTTAGCAGGTCCAAAGATTCAAGTGCACACGACTGCAACAAACCCGATCTTCCATCAACCCTGCAGGGCTTGCAGAAGCACACCCCCAGCCCGACCTTTTTTTTCTCTTCGTTTTGGGCTACATCTTATGCATTGGGAAGGTCTGCTTCTTGCCAAAACCGTCGGATTTTGGAGCAGCTGCCGGTGATCGACCACGAGCGCCGTTGTTGTCTCGCTTTAGCTTCTCGCCCTCGAACCTCCCAAAGTCGACGGGTGTGTCTGATTGTCTCGACCGCAATTGCAAGACACCAGCCCCGATCAGCCCTCGACTTGATTTTACAACACAACCCCGACCCCTTGTTGGGCTGCTGTCTCTCATTTTTACTACGCCGAGAAAGCCATGCTCGAGGTGTTCACACCGATCCACGACCTACACATCTCGATTCCGCGAGCCGATTTCCTAGAAACATCGACCTATTTTCGACTCGTCTCCTACTTCGACAACCTCCCGAAATTCCCGTCACAATGACGGACTCAAGACGAGATGACTCGGTCTCGCCAATGACAAGAAGCCCTCGCGCGGCATCGCCAGCCATCACGAGCCAGCCAGAGTCGCTTGCTCCTCCAGCTCCTCCGCCGAAAGATGGCCCTCCGGCTCCTCCCCCGAAGGGTCTCCCGACGCCTAAAGATAACCACACCCCGATCGACTCCACGGTGGAAGCACGAGACTATATCAATGGGGGAGCACCCCACGACAGCGTGTCGCCTGTTAACGACGGAAAGCGGCCGCAGCTCCCAACCCTCAACTCCACCGACAGCGTACGCCAGACTCCTGGCGGTCTGCCAGTGATGCCCGAAGACGATACATACTCCCCTGAGCCAGCTTCACCGACCGATCGCCGAAGCGTACAGTTCGCCAGAACGGACCAGGTCCTGGAGGCTCCAGCAAGCCATTCGCGGCAGCCATCATGGGAAGACGGCGGAAAGTCCATTGGCTCTGCCTTTATCTCCAAATTAAAGCAGCTCACTGGGTCTGGTAGCATGCAGACACTCAAGACGAGCAGCTCAGGTAACCTGAACGACAATGGTACGCCGCCGTCCA